GTAAAGTATAGGAAGAATTTTTCGGGGGTCAAAGGTCGGGGAAAGGTTCATTCGACGCTATGTTATGGTATCAAACAAATTTATTATTAATAATAATTTGTGAGAAAGAAAATGAGGTATTAAAAAAATCAAAATGTCATGAAATCTACAAAAAAGTTTTATTTTATAATGAAGATAAGGGTGAAATTATTCTGATGAACAATAGTCGGCCCGAGCTTCACGTTCTGTTACAAGATCGTTATCGTTCCATTGGTTGGTATATGACTTTCATGTTCATAAAAGGTTGCCTTGTTTCGCATAGTAATTCCTCAAAACGGTTTTTCATTATTGTTGTTACATGTATTTATATTTAAAAAAATACGAATATTATGTTTTCTAACCTGACAAATTGAGTAAACTATATTTGATTTTTCGACAACACAAAAGTAGTTCAGCCACTGCCGTGAAAATACTTATACGCGAAAGTTCATTCGAGAAAAATTTGTTCTAATAAAAGATTTTTTTTTTAATTTTTTTTTTGAATAACACTATCTCGCCAAATTTCATTTATTTTGGCCAAAAAATATAAATTTACCCATTCGATCGACGCCTTCAATTTATCCCGAGTCACGCATGGCTGAACACGTTCAAAACCAGCGCGGGCTGCTGCTATTTCTTGTTGCTTGTTTTGGATTGCGTTTGCTTATCAAGATATCGCTTTTTTGATTAATTTGGCTGTGGAGTTCATACCTAATTTCCTCCAAGAGGAGGATTATTTTTATCTATCTATATTACCGTAAATTATGGGCCGTATACATTCTGACACTAATCATAGCAGGATAAGCTGATACCGGTATCTGTACAGACTGTACCTGTGATATCTGGATATGCAGATATTTGCGTCATATAGCCTAGTCTTGACAGTAATAACTGAATAACGCAATACTGCAATAACGGATTGTGAGTTTCACTGTCTGATTGCTGGACTGTAGTGCGCGACTTTTCATTCACCTTGTATAATATAAATTAAGGTTAGGCTTACGGTACCATACGGTATGTCCCGTTTTAGGCGGGACAGTCCCACTTTTTAACATCTTGTCATGGTGGCCAAATGTCCCACTTTGGCGTTTAGCCAGTACCCGTATATTACTTGTTACGATACTGTTGTTGCTGTGTTGCGTATCGGTACACTACTAACTGAAGGGGAATGCGTGATTTTTTTTGTTTCCTTGTTTTCTGTTGCGGAATCTTATTAGCGAATAATTCTACAATTTGTTAAGTGTAAGCTGTGTATGCCAAAAGAGTGATTAAAGTTAATCTAAAGTCCTATTTTTCAAACTGAAACTGATATCAGACAGAACCGCATGAACTATCAATGACTATATTATCAATGAAGACGCCCAGGGTGGTTTTAAATGCAGTGCGGCACACTATCCCGATTACGGATTTGTGGCTGTATTCTGGAACACAAAGATACATGCGCGTCTCTGAAATCAGGGCCGTCGAGTCAAAGTGAAGCTCGTATGCGTGGAAACGTCAGATGTCTGGCTGGGTATACGCAGGGTTGCCATCTACCCAGAGCCAAAAATAAGCACGAGCGTCAAAATGTTATATTTCAAGGGGAGGGGTCTTAACAACGGCAGAAACGCAGAATGAGAAGGAGATCATACACGAGTCTCCAACTTTCTATCAATAGAAGTCGCTTCGAACATGGTTGTACGCAGCTCCAAAATTGCAAAAAGCTACAGAAAGACACGGAGTCACTGCCGCACGCAATCCCTAAAACAAGGGTCGGCAACTTTTGTCGCTCCCGGGCCAAAACCAAGTGTTACGAATATTGACTGGCCGCACATATTTTTTCAGGAACGTTAAAAACTGAACGGATGGCTGATGAACCACATTATTTATACAGATTAGAAATTCAAATTTCGGACTTTGATAGCGAGCGAACACCGCGACAACTCGTCGTCTCAAGTCGTCTCATTCTACAAAATATTTACAAATAACATTTAAATGCGACACTAGGTGACACACTAGATAAAATCAAAGTTTTCTAAATGTCTATCACTAATCCTAGTTCTTCGCAAGGAAAATTTCATTTTGGTTAAGTAATTGAAAACAAAAGCGATCTTTTTCATAAAGATTGGAAAACGAATTATTAATGAAGAACAAGAATAACATAATAACGATCCGTAGGTTTAAGTGAAGCACTGTGGGCCGGATTATTTTACTCCGTGTGCCGGATATGGCCCGCAGGTGGCCGACCTCTAATCTAAAGTCCTCATACTTTGGTTTCCCGCAATGCTTCTTGTGTTTTTATGGTAGTATTGTGGGCATCGATTACTGTTTTCCACCTTTCTCGATGTCGATGAATTTCTTTTCATGTTCGAAACAGAACTCACGGTTACGCTTACTCTAAATTGCAGTTTGTCCCTAAAAACAGTATTTCTAAAAACTAGCAGCAACTATTGTGTGTGTCACAGTTTGCCTGGAAATACCGCAAAACCCACCGTTGACAGAAAAAGTTCGTCCCTCGTTTCCACGCAAGCTTTGTACGCAAAACAAGTACTGGTCATCCACGTTTCTAAGATCATAAGCACGCGACTCAAAAATAAGCACTTTCCTTAGAAATAAGCACATCGTTACTTTATAAGACGCGGGCTAGAAAATAAGCACAAATCTTAGAAATAAGCACGGTATGGCAACCCTGGGTATACGTCACAGAAAGTCACGCACAAATCTGCACGGCTCTCAAATTTTGCCTATTTGATTTCCGTTTTTCACCGATGTATACTGCCCTATATGATTACATATGCAATGTATTTCAGAACCATTTTATTCAGTTCAATGTTGGTAGTGATCATTATTAAAATAATGGCGCGTAAATGCAAAAGTCTGTAAATAAAATAAATACTTTTAAATAAGATCAAAGGATTACAGAATTATGCGTTCCGATTAATACGAGTCGAACTGATTTTTTTCTTCTAAGTTTTTGTGAATCCATGACATCTTTTGAATTGTCGTATAACGTAGTCAAAACGATGCACGATATTGAAGTTTTTTTTTAATAGTTAAATTAATATCGATAATGAAACTTTGTATGTCCGTCTATACCTGTAATTACAACAGTTTAACATAGCATCTTCGGTTATTTAGAACTGAAACTTCCAGAATGCACAACGGATTACGATATCATTTACCTTCAAGAATTTATTCAAATTTGAGTGCCAACAATCCATAGTAAAATGAAAGCCTCGATGCGTCGTTGGATTAAATTATTTTGTCAATTTAATTCTTGTTTTTCACCGATTACGCAAGTTAATCATTTGCGGCATGCGAATGCATCGATGCGGCATTATATTAATTTGATTCTTGTTTTTCACAGATCGGTATGCAAATTATCATTTGTTTCATATGATTGCCTCAATGTGCCATTGAATTAAATTATTCTTGTATACCGTAAATTTAGAAGTTAAACATTTGCGGCATATGAATGTATCGATGCGATATTATAATAATTAATTTGAATCTTGTTTTTTGTTTTTATACTAATATAAATTTCGCAAATTGAACATATGCGGCATATGAATACATCGTTGCGGCATGATATCAAATTATTTTGCTAATTTTATTCTTGTTTTCGCCGATCTATTCTTGTATAAATTACGCAAGTTGCACATTTCGCGGCATATGAATGTCTCATTGCGGCATTAGATTGAAATATTGCTTTATAAACTAATTCATCTAATGCTGCATCGAGGCATTAATTTTACTGTTTATCGATTGTAGGTGTATGAAATAACATAAAAATATGATATATGGTGTTATCAAAATGTAATTTTTATTATCTCTGATCCATTTAATATCGTTAACACGCCATCCCATCTACATTGAAAATGAGAGAAATACGCCAAGCCAAGGTTTGCATCGAGGAACGGCCGATGCGTACCTGCGTTTGTCGATTGAAATTCAGTGACGTCACATGCCGGATGATGCCGCAGATCGTTTTTTGCTATTTCTTTCAAACGCTTCGGTAAATTTTATTTCCTTCTGTGGATTTGATTATTTTTTCTCGAGGAATCCAATGGTGATGCTCTTAGCTTGCGCTTATTTTTAGTTTAATGCGCAACTTCGTTTTATAGTTTTTTTACCGATATTGAGGGACATCAGCTGCCAGACGTCTCTCGAAGGAGGGGCTTCTCCAATTCCAATTTAAAATAGGATTCTCTGAAACAGGACAAAGTCTCTCGATATGTATAGTGTGCCGTACTAAAATGTAGGTTCTCAATGAGGCGTCCCGCTTCAAGGTCAAGTCAAGGTCAAATATAGGATAACTAGGTTCAAGTTCATTTTAAATCCTTAATCAGCATACCATGCAATACCGCAATAAAAAGATTGATAAAAAGTGATTATAAAATCAGGAAAGCTAATAAAAAATTACACACCATATTACAGTATTAATAATTTTGTAATGGTTGCCAAATTGATCAATTTTCTAATCATGAGTGAACAGTAAAGACCGGAAGAAAATTTTCCAGACTCCTATCATAATATATTGCCAAGCTGATTATATTTGGGTTTAATATCAAATTGCCATTACCACAGTACCGGTACCATACCAAAGTTGCCAGATTTGGGTGCATGACTGCATGAGGTGGGCCAGACCACTTCATTCTCCAAATTAGATCCAATTATTGCCAATTTATAGTCCAGATTGTACAGCTGTTGTAATAAGTACCGTACCTGAAGTTACCGCTTACCGGTACTGTAACAGTATAAGTTAGTATAACTGAAGTAAATTAGGACAATAGAGTATGGGAATTTATTGGTTACCAAGGGTGTAAGTAAGAGTTTTTTCCATTCTTAGATATTGACTCCTTTTACAGGATCATTTGTTTAAATTTGATAAATCCTGTTGTCGTGAGGTACAGTAGATGTCGATGCAACCCTAGGTCTTGTTTCGTTTTCATGCTGATGATTGCTTTTTCTTCGCCTCCTATCATATAAATGAATATTCAATTTTATATATTTCAGGCTTAGTTTATATTCTTTAGTTTATATTCCTTAGTTTAAACTGATTGGAAAATATAATGTCAGAGCCACCTCCAGATGTTATCCCGGTACGAGCAGTCGTTCGGGGACGACCTTTGATCCCAAAGGAAGTTGATGAGGGTTGCCAAACTTGCTTGGACTTCTTCATGGAAGAAAATCGTGTGATGGTAAACGGTAGCAAATCCTTTACCTTTGATAATGTATTTTCGGCAGACGTGAGCCAAGCTGATGTTTATGATATCGCTGTAAAGCCCCTTACAGAAGGATTTTTCAAAGGATTTCATGCAACTGTTTTAGCATATGGACAAACAGGCAGTGGAAAAACATATTCTATGGGATCTGCACATTCCGCAACTGCTTCAATTGATGATGTAACTACAGGAATTATACCTAGAGTTATTAATGATATTTTTGACGGAATTAATGATCGTCCAAATCATAATTTCACTGTAAAAGTTTCCTATCTTGAACTGTACATGAAAAGTTTGAACGATTTGCTATGTTCTCGGACAGATCGGCAACAAATTGTAATTCGCGACGCAGATGATGGCGGTACACACATTAGCGGACTCACTGAACTCGTTGTGGCGAACGTAAAAGAGACATTTGCTGCAATGGATTGCGGGAATTCGCATCGTACGACAGCCGCGACTGCAATGAATTTAGTGTCATCTCGTTCGCATGCAATTTTTACCATTCTTCTTGAAAGTGTCAATAGAGAGGATGAAAATGATAAAGTGTCCTGTAAGTTCCATCTCGTTGATCTCGCTGGATCCGAGCGAGCGAAAAGAACAAAAGCAGAAGGAGAACGCTTACAAGAAGGCATCAGAATTAATGAAGGTCTACTTGCGTTAGGAAACGTCATCAGTGCTTTGGCGGATGAAAACCTTCGTTCTGGGCATATAAAATATAGAGACTCAAAATTGACTAGGATTCTACAAGGTTCGTTGGGAGGCAACAGTCATACTCTAATGATCGCTTGTGTGAGCCCTGCAGATTCAAATCATGAAGAAACGATAAATACTTTGCGATATGCAGATCGTGTTCGTAAAATTAAAAATCGTCCTGTTGTGAATCGGGATCCACAGGCTGCTTTAATTGCGTCGTTGAAAAAGCAGATACAAAACCTAAAATTACAGCTTTTGGAACGTGGATTAGAGTATCAACCTTTAGGAGCAGAGTCGATTGCGCCTTCAGAAAGTACCAGTGCCTTGCAACAAAAAATAAAGAAGTTGTCGAATGACAATGACAAACTAACTGAACAATTACAACAGAGCGTAGAAAATTACAGTGAAATGTGTGAGAAAGCCATCGTGACCGAGATGTGTTATGATAAAATGAGAGAGCAATTTTCGGAAATTACTAAATCTGCACGCGGATTACTTGATGAGTTTCCTGACATGTATGTGATAAATGAAGAGAATGAATCTATGAAGGAGCGTTACCAGAAACTTCTATCTCTACATAAAATGATTCTGAAGACTCATCCTATGGGGGCAGAAGAATTAATGGAGACCGCTTTACATGGAAATGACGAAACTCTGGCTCCGAATGAGGACGGTTCCATCCAAGGTGACACAGTGTTGGAAGCCACCACAAGTGTAGATCCTCAAAATATGACGCATGCTATGACAAGCGAACATGCCATGAAAAAGGCTGATTTAGGAAAGCAGTTACAAGAGTTGTCAAAAGCACTTTCGATTAAAGAAGAGCTCGCAAAGCGTTTGACGTCAAACGATGCTCAAATCAGTGCAATGAAGGGAGAATTTGAAGCGAAGCTTCAATCTTTAGCGAAGGAAAAAGCAAGTTTGGAACTTGCGCTACAACAAGCGCAAAAAACAAATGAAAGCCGTAAGCTGAGTGAAAAACGAAGACAACGTTTGAATGAGTTAACAGCTGAAATTCAGACCCTCAAAAAAGAGAAAAGGGAAAAAGAAAAATTGGTACGAATGAAAAACGAAAGTGATCGCTCAATCGAAAGACTACACACCGAAATTCGAGATATGAAACGAAACAGAGTCAATTTGATGAAACAAATTAAAGCTGAGAATGAAAAATTTAACGCGTGGAAAAAAGAGAAAACAAAGGAAGTCAAACAACTCCAAGAAAAGAACAGGAAGCGTAATTTCGAATACGTGAAACTGGAAAGAACGTACGATAAACAGAAGGCAATCTTAAGAAGAAAAACGGAAGAAGCAGCCGCGGCCAACAAACGCCTTAAAGAAGCTTTGAGCAGAAGAGAGGCTGCTGCCGCAAAACGTAAAGCTTCAGAAAAGCGGACCATGGAAACCATAGGACCAAAAATAAGAGTGTGGTTGGATGAGGAAATTGAAGTTCGTACCAGCATAAGAGAGGTTGAACATCATGAAAAAGTGCTTATTAACGATCGTACTGCATTGGCAAAAGAGTTGAAAGAGTGTACAGATTCGCCGAAGAAGCGGAGACGAACATTCGATGCTGAAACTGATATACGAGGCTCAAACAGAAAGCTCGAGATTCGGCAAGAAATAGAATTAAAAAGTGCTCATATTCAGAGTTTACAGAATAAATTATCAGAAGCGAAAGAGCATTTAAACTCAAATACAAAATGGGCAAATATTGGAACTCTTGTTGATGCTAAATATGCTATCAAATATTTAATGAAGTTAGCAGTGGATGCCAAAATTGAGAACTCTCTACAGAAAGACGAGGCCGCAAATATGAAACGGGAACGTGAGGCCGCAGAAGAAATAGTAAGAGATCTTCAAAATCAACTACGACAAACTATCAACAGACATGAGATGGATAAAACTTTATTGCAACAAAGCCATGCGGTTCAGGTTTCAGATTTGCTCGCAGAATGCACATTTTCGAAGTCAAATAGTTTCCGCGAAACTCCCGATAACAGCCAAACTGAAATTTCAAAATATCAAAAAGAAAATAAACTTCTCAAACAAGAACGGAACATATTACATAAAAAGTTATTGGAGAAACGCCCTTCGTCAACTTCCGCTCCTTCGCCAGGGAAAAACCAATCATTTTTTATGCCGATCAAGCTTATTGACAAGTCTGTTGAAGATATTTTTGAAGAACAAGATGAAACCTTTGAACTGGATGAGGAGGACACAGATTCAGAATACGCACCAACTCCCAAGAAAAAAAGGAGAAGAACCGGTGTTGTTTCTGGATGTAAATGCTCCAAATCCAAGTTTCGTTGTAAAAGTGAGTGATCTGCTATTTTTGTGGTTATATGGTTCGTTCTTCGTAGTATCAATGATTTGTGTTTTCCTTTGGGAGAGCGATTAGGCTATCTCATGAAGTAAATCATATTTGTACGAGTAACGATTTACTATTTTTGTGAGTGCTCCAGAAGTGTGTGTACCAATATAGATGTAACTAATTTTATTCGCCTACTATACATCAAGTTGTGTAAAGGGACGGAAGCCTATAGGCAGGGTATATTCACTTGGCTAACACAGACAGTCCCCGAACTTCTAATAAACTAAATAAGGTAAATAAGAATATAATCATAATTCATAACCTAACCCTAACTTGGTACATATACTACAGGAGTACCTTTTTGTGTATGAATGGTTTGGTGGATCAAAGATTTGTTTTCACATCACATAGTAAAGTAGGGAGGGAGTTCAGGAGTTGGCTGTTGTTTGCAACATGATTGAACCTTATTGACTTTTCTCTCCTTTGGTGTACCCTCAATTTTGCGGGGTAGACTTATTAAATCAAGTCAAATCCTTGTTTTGTCACATCGTGGCGAATAATACATCTATAATTTCATTCAGATTCTTTGTGTGGGTGTGTTAAACGGAACAGCAAATGCGGAAAGAATTGCAGTTGTTCAGATGTCGGATCAGCGTGCTATAATCAAGGAGAAGGAATGATAAATGGTTAGTACATTTAATATTGTTTTTGCTTCCCATCCATTTGGTGCGGCCTGGGATGGTCGAAACCGAAGATTTCACTATTCCGAATATATTCTGAAAAAATATTTTATCAAATATATTCAAATTGGAGGCAGATGGAAAATTACATAAATCCCTTTATCTTCATGTAATACACATATTTAAAAGGGTGACTGTTTTCTCTTTGTTGTTTGTTACCATTTCAGATTTCCCATGATTAGATCCGCTTGTCTGACGTCTCCAAATTCCTAATTTATTCTTATAGTCCCTAGTTTGTTCCAAATTATTCTAAAATTCAAAAATTTACTATATCGGATATAATAAATTTTATCGCAGTCCGGTACTTGGCTCTTGAATAGGTTCAATTTGTGATTTGTGAATACAAAAACTGTATTTATATTAAAGACTCCATTTTTTTTGCGTAGTCCAATCATAAACAAATCTCTAGATTTCAAAAAGTTTCAATCAGACACAGGGGTGAGGGGGATTTTTCTGTCTCATACATAGCAGATTTTGGGGTTCCCGAATTATGCGAACCAAGATGGCGGACATCGGAATGTAATATGTGTACTAGGTTAGGGTTAGGCCATAATTTTAGGTATAAATACTACGGGAGGCTCTTGGCTAGTCTTCGAACTGATAAAAGGACTAAAATAAGGAAAATTGGAAAAAAATTATCGCCTAACCCTAACCTGTTACCCATGTTACGTTCCGATGACCGCCATCTTGGTTCGCATACTTCGGGAACACCCAATTTTTTTTAGCTTGGAACGTTTTTACACCCTTAAGATTCCTAAAAACCTACATTTCCCGACCTCCGACGGTCCAACTTAGCAATAAGAAATTTTCAGAACCCCCCCATCCTTCGAAATTTCCTGGCTACTCCCCTGATCAGACTTTTTTTTAAATTAAACAATTTTCAAAACTTTTTTTTAGATGCCGCAAATGTAACCTTTGACGTAGAGGCCGAGAAGTCTTCAACTCCTACATTTCTTTTCCCGAAACTTGAAGGCGGTGATAAGGAAAATAACCCCGATATCATTCCAAGAACCCCGTTATCTGGACTCGAGAACTCCACAAAATATAACCCGGTATATTTCCAATCACCTATAGTTGATGAACCATCTGCAGATTCCCAAACTGAATAAAATTCCTAGTTGTCTGCAATTTGCAATTCTTATTGACATGAACATCAACTAGTATTTATTGTCACATAATTCTATGTTATAATTCCTTATAGTAGATGTTCCCAACCGAGGGTCACATAAGCGCAAAACTGATTCGATTTTTTACTACAAGAAAACTCCCTGTACTTCCAAGTTTCATTGCTTGATAAGGTTATTTCACAGCGTGTTTTCATTTTGTTGAGCATGAATTGTTGAAACATAATGGGATAAGGGTTCTAACAATCAAAATAACGCTATAAATACCACTGGATTGATAAACAGGGGGGTAATGAGTGATAAAAGCCTACAGAAGGATGCCACGAGCCATTTAAGATTAAGGGAACCACTTCCTTATAGTCTCATTATCTCTCCTCATTCACATGGTTGCTGGTAAATGCGCTTAGATATCAGACTTCTTAATTTCTAAATCTGGTATTTATCGCCGCACAATTCTACATTATATTTCCTTATAGTTTCTGCAACTCTTGGCACTTTCGTTGTCGCCTAGAACTTAGCTCGGAGACCATTAATTTCTGAGCGTGACCTTTAAGAAACCTTCCTTAGAAATGTTTTTTATGGCTGAATTGTTTTTTATAAGTGAATTATGATTGCAAAAAGTTAAGCTCTAAATTACATATGCCCACATTGTTAGCAGAATAATATTTTCAAACAATGCTATGCTTTTATTAAGACTTCCCAAAGTATCCTAACGTGTCAACCAAAATTGTGGCGTCTCAACAAATTCACAATAAACTCCAATTACTGATTGTAGAAAATTTCGGTTCGGACCCAGCTATGAATTACAAAGTATCAAATTTTAATAACAGTAACTATTACATATCAAGCTTTTTTAATAGGATATAAAGTCGTAACAGCATGCTATATTTATCTTCTTGCTTTCCATTGTTCTATTTTTTTTTTTTTCTTATATAGTCAATAGAGCATGCTCTTTGTTGTTGTACAATCTGTTTGCTCAAAGATACTTGTAAAAAGCAATTCAGAACAAACGATAAGAACTGGTCACACCACACTATGGTCATCTCTCAATATTGATTCTTATTTCCGCGAAATTTTATCATAAGCATGTTTGTTAAGTCAATCTGCTTAGCTTCTGAGTGAGTGTTCTTGACGTTACTTTGAACGCCGCATCCTAGTCAGAGTAAGCTTCGAATAAGTGATTCGAGGCGAAATGTGTCAGTTTGGTCTTGAGGCGTCTTTGTGAAGGAGACAACCCCAAATTTCAGTGGAGAAGTCCAGTTTGGAGAGATCGTTTCAAAAGAGTTTCATAACAACTGTAACCCCCATTATTCTAGGTTGGCAAAACACAACTAAGTCCATACTTAAAAACTTTTGTATATCTTTTTATTCGTGAAGAAATATTAAAACTGCCCACCACCGGGAGGTCATCTCTGATTATCGTTTCTTATTTCCGCAAATTTTTATATTAGCATGCTCGATGAATTAACCTGCCTTGCTTCTGAGTTGAACAAATTTCCTAAAACAAAAAACTAAATTTTATGTATTTGTGTTGTGGTGATAGCTATTAGCAATTTCACTTATGAGAAGTACTCATGGGTGAACTGTGTGCTCACTTTATTATTCATATATACTGTTACATGTTTCCTATTGATCTTCTTTCCTTTTTTGTTTTGTTGTTGTCAGTGTAATGTAGTGCTCAAGAATTGGTGCTCCTGAAGTATTCGTACCAGGATGGCGCACAACCTGAACATAGTATGGGTACCAGGTTACGGTTGTTCAGGTTGTGCGTCATCTTGGTACGAATACTTCCTGAGCACCCAAGAATTCGCTTCATACTCATGCTTACCGCAGCTTGATTGCTAATGGTATTGTCTACATCAGGGTGGTCCAAGATTGGCAGCTCCGCGGGCCACAAAATTACTTTTGCATTGTTCACGGGCCACGATAGTGTCAAGAACTTCGCTCGTTTAACTTCGCTAGTTGCCTCAGCATGCCATAACACTAGTCAATTCAGTGACATTAGTGATGCAACAATATGTCAGAAGATTTTTTGGTTAATTCTATGACGAAACAACACCAAATGCGATATTTTAATCCCACTTCAAATGTGACGCGGGACGCTGATAATGAAGCGGTGGCCCGCGGGCCTGGATTTGGACCACCCTGGTCTACATAGTTCAAATTTTCTTCAGTCAGTTTTTTCGAATTTTTGGTGCTCCCGATGTATGTGCACAAAGGTGGTGCACAACCTGAACCCTAACCTGGTACACATACTATGTTCAGGTTGTGCGCCATCTTGGTGCACATACTCCGGGAGCTCCCAATTTTCTTGCTCAGTCTGTTAAATATAGCCTTTTCTTTTTTATGGTAATCTGAATCACCATGATTTTTCAACTAAACCATTCTAGAGTCCCAGATCAAAAGAAATGCAATTGTTGTATATATTTAACACATGATTGATAAGAAGATCACAAAATTATTTTACAATTTCGATCCAGACCAAAAGACTTATGACAAATGTTTGTGTTCTACTTCAGACTACCTGCTTTAGCAAATGACAAATATTCTTGTGCCCGTCTTGTAAATTGTCCCTCATGTGTGATGGATGTTATTTTCTGTCCTATTTTTGATGTATCAAACTAGAATAAACTCTAATTCATATGTCTTGTCTCGTGATACTTGGTTTTACCCAATTGAAAAGGTCTTCCAATAAATTGCATTCATTAGGGAGAGGAGAGAGTGGATAAATTGTATGAACGTATTCTGGACAATATTGACGTTTAAGGTTAAATGCTTGGTAATTTTCCATTTGGTCTTCAGTAAGTTAGCATGTGCAAAATGAAGACTTTACTGAGTTTATATATAAACTAAAGGAAAAGCAGTTAGTCCCTAGCAATTTTTGTGGCGGCAAGCAAAACTGGTTATATTCCAATACTCGTATCCATTTATATTTTAGGGTAGTTACATCACTTAAGCAAGACACACCCCAAATATAGTTGTGGTAATCATACAAATAGTTTATTTTACCAACGAAACAATAATACCGTCACAAAGTATGTCACGGATGCCGTTATCGACAACTAGACAAGCGCGCCAATCGGTTTGGACTCCGTGAAATCGGCACCACTGGCGGGAATCTTGCAGCAGGTGTACCAGGGAATATGGCAATGCGTTTACATTTGCTTTTACTGACGTACCGATAATTTTTCACGGCTATGGTGCTTCCGGCGGACAGACTGATGAATAAGCTCACCCTTCGTTGTTGTTTTGTGTTTTGTTTGTATCAGAGTGACCGAATAAAATTGATTGATTGATAAATATTGTTTTATTGATATTTTTGAATTCAACAAATTTATGCGAAAAAGTCAGCACGTGAGTTGAGCTCATACTTCTGTACTTTGAGTCGTTGAGCGACACCTAACTTACATACTACTGTACAGGTTCTAAACCGATATTACCGGTATCTGGCTAGAACTTAGAAGCAACACTATGCACTATGGGAGCTTTGGTTATGTTTTATCGCTTTATGTTTATCAGTCACTCTGTGCTCTGTGTAATAATAATTATAAATGCTACGTCAGTTTAGTAAGCGATTTCAGATTAAATATTCACATAATTCCGGAGTCATATATTTGTTAGTTCTCAGTTGCCCAGGCATTCAATTTTGAAGCAGTACAGTGCATAAGTGTCAGGTAACATCTTAAAACGGTAACATACAGACATAAGCAGTGACATAATTAACATTTTTCTAATTTCAAAATTGCAATCACAGAATTAGCGACGCCATTAAAGCCTTGAGTTAATCCATTTGTCTATCACATTTTTGGTGAAATCCCAGGATTTAAATAAATAAAACTTTTATTGCCTTATCAATAATTTTTTAGTAAACTTCCACAGGACTTTGTTTTTATTTCACATACAATGGAAAATACATGAAAGTTTTCATCACTTAAACTTGGTAATTGCTGTGATTTAGCCATTCATTTGTTCAGCAGGTTTATAAATGTAAGATTATAGGCCATAAAATGCCGAAAACATTGCTTCATTTTTTCTCCCCAAAATCTGTCAAAAAAGAAGAAAATGGCACGAGCTCACCGAAATCAAACTCTGGGACTCCATTGAAACCAAAAAACACATTTTTAACCCCAAAATCTGAGGGGAAAATTCTATCAAAGAAAACGTTTCTAACCCCCAAATCTGAAGGAAAGATTCCTTCAAAGAAATCACCATTTTTTTCTCCTATGGTTCCAGCAAAAACCATTGAATGCAATGTTTGTGATATTGTTTGGGCTAAATTAGATGGTTACCCATGGTGGCCGAGCATAGTTTGCAATGACCCCACGGACGGCGTTCATGAAAAAAGGGAAGGAAAAAAGAAATTTATCCATGTTCAGTTTTTTGACAATCCAGTAACTCATGCCTATGTAGAGGCAAAAAATGTTGAAATATATGACGGTTCTCAATCTCTTGATTTTCAAATTGGTGGAAAATTCTATAGTCCAGATCTAGATGTCATTGAGGCCACAAAAAAGGGGGATGAGGCCTTAAAAAAAGGGGTGGAAGGCCGTGAAAAATTGCTTGTTAAATTTGAGGACAGTTTTGACGATTTTGCTGATGATTTAGATGACATGTTAGCTGATGCGTGTGACAATTCTGTTGCTAGTAGCAACAATGAAGTTTCCATGGAGATTGAAGAGGGAAAAAGACCGAAACGAAAGGCGGTAAAAAAAGCAGCTAAGAAACGACGCAGAATCGAAACTCACTCTGATGAGGATGATTGTGTTTCAGAGGAAGATTTTGATCCGAATAAAGAATCCGAGAGTGATGAAAGTGATGAAGATGTTGGGGAAGAATCTTCTGATTTAGCTACTGAATCCGAACCTGACGATTCACCAATTAAAGATTCTCGAAAACGAAAAAGAAAAGGTTCGCTTCCCGCTCCAAAAATATCAAATACACCTAGTAATTCAAAACTTGCTGCTTTTAATCCAACTACCAGTACCACCTCTCGAACTCCGCTTGTGTGCCAGCAAACAAAGTCACGATTATCATTATTCCAAGCTTCAGAGACAGAAGGATCTATGGGAGATGACTTAGAGACTACAAAGTATTTACATGAGACATTGGAGTTTCTTTTTCCAGAGAATTTACGAGATAAACATGGTAGAAAGACGGGCGACCCTGATTATGATTCAACATCATTAAAAATTCCGCAAGAGTTTTTAAAAAAATGTACGCCTGCTATGTTCCAATGGTGGAAATTAAAAGTAGATCATTTTGATGTGATATTTTGTTTTAAAGTTGGCAAGTTTTATGAGTTATACCACATGGATGCCGTGGTAGGAGTCAATGAATTGGGGCTCATTTACATGAGAGGGTCTTTTGCACATTCTGGATTTCCAGAAGTAGCATTCGGTCGTTATTCCGAATCGCTCGTACAAAAAGGTTATAAAGTCGCTCGTGTGGAACAGACGGAAACGCCGGAACAAAATGCAATTCGAATCAAAAAGGGAATGCCGTCAAAACAAGAGAAAACATTAAGAAGAGAAATTTGTCGAATTGTAACAAAAGGAACGCAAAGTTTGGGATCCTGGCCAGGTAGTGGCAATATGCATAGCGGGAATAATTTTCTTTTAGCTGTCACTGAAAAATCTTCAGGAGGAAATAACTTCCAAGAAGGAGTTAATTCTAACGTGTGTCGTGAATTTGGAATCTGTTTTATCGACACTTCTGTTGGTTTGTTTCACATCGGTCAATTTATGGATGATCGCCACTGCTCTGCTTTGTGTACTATGCTCTCTCACTACACCCCTTGCCAGATTTTATTTGAACGTGGTCACCTATCAGCTTCATTACAGAAAATTCTTCGCTCAGGACTTTCCTCGATTCTTCAAGAGCCATTATTACCAGGAACTCAATTTTGGGACGCAACAAAGACGATGAAATTTCTCAAAACGGAGGGTTATTTTGAGAAAAACGGGGAGGATGATTGGCCCACTGCTTTGAAAAGTATGATGCAAGACGCTGAAGCCGTCAGCTTTTCAGCGGCAAAGAATTATGAGCTAGCGATAAGCGCGTTTGGCGCTTGTGTGTTTTATCTTAAAAAATGCTTGATTGATTATGAAGTCATCTCAATGAAACAGTTTGTTGAGTACAAGCCGCCGAAAAGTGGAGATCCACAATATGTTGCTCAAGAACTTGAGGATGCTGTTGCAAATTTTGCGAAGGGCGATAATAAAATGATTCTTGATAGTGTTACTTTAGCAAACCTGGAAATTTTGGAAAACACCAACGGAGGTACTGAAGGGACTTTAATTGAGCGATTAGACCACTGTCATACTGCTTTCGGTAAGCGTTTGCTCCGCCAATGGCTCTGTGCACCCCCATGTAACCCCGAAGTTTCCTCGGATAGATTGGACGCTCTCGAGGACCTAATGGGATGTCAAGAGTTTGTATCAGAAACCAACGAGGTCCTAAAGAAGGTGCCGGATTTGGAAAGAATGTTGATGAAAATTCATTCTCTTTCGAAAGATTCGAAAAAACCTGACCACCCTGACAATAGGGCTGTTCTTTACGAGGAAGACAAATATAGTAAAAAGAAAATCGAAGATTTTTTAACAATTTTACAAAATTATGAATGTGTTCATAAATTACTAGTGAAGCACCAAGATTTAGTGAAAAGTTTCAGATCCTCTTTGCTACAAAAAATATTGGGTTTGTCCAGCGAAAATGGAAATTTTCCGAATATGTCTGACACTTTAAAGCGCTGGAAAACAGCTTTTAATCACACAAAGGCTGTTGAAACAGGTAAAATAACACCGAATCATGGTGCCAATCCAGAATATGACTCAGCATTAGATGAAATTGCTGATATACAAGCGAAACTGAATAGCTATTTGAAAGAACAAAAAAAACATATTGGGTGCTCGAGCATCGTTTATAAAGGAACTGGAAATAAACGTTACCAATTGGAAATGCCAATAGACGTGGCGGACCGAAAAAATTTATCCGGTTATACAATATCAGGTCAAAGGAAAGGTTTTAAGAGTTTTCGAACTGCTGAAACGGAAGAGTTTTTGAAAGAAATGGAAGCCGCTGAAGCGCGACGAGATTCTGCACAAAGTGAAACCATGGCGATTATATTTCGTGAATTCGATCAGGATTTTGCGATGTGGAACAGCGCTGTTCAGTGTTTATCTATATTAGACGTATTGCTCAGTCTAACGGAGTATTGCAAAAATAGTGAAATTCAAATGTGTCGGCCCATACTGTCTTGGAAAGGTGCCAATACCTCTCCATTTTTGGATATTTCAACAGGAAGGCATCCATGCGTGACTCGTACATTTTTTGGCGATGATTTCATCCCTAACGATACTCTTCTCGGTTGCCAAGGTGATGATAATGATGTCACAAACAATCCAAATTGTTTGGTCCTCACTGGCCCTAATATGGGAGGAAAATCTACTCTAATGAGACAAGTGGGACTCATAGTCGTGCTGGCACATTTAGGGTGCTATGTTCCTGCTGAACACTGTAGGCTATCACCAGTCGACCGTGTCTTTACAAGGCTAGGGGCATCAGACCGTATCATGTCTGGCGAAAGCACATTTTACGTCGAATTGAGTGAAACTTCAGCGATTTTGAAACACGCAACCAAACATTCTCTCGTGCTTTTGGATGAGTTGGGCCGTGGCACAGCGACTTACGATGGTACTGCGATAGCTTTAGCCGTTGTTCGAGAGATTTCTGCTAATATAAAAAGCAGGACAATTTTTTCAACTCATTATCACACCGTTGTTGACGATTTAAAAGACAACGCAGATGTGAAACAAGGCCACATGGCTTGCATGGTAGAAAATGAAGATGCTGACAACGAAGACCCGTCTAAAGAAACTTTAACTTTTCTGTATAAATTGACCGATGGACCATGTCCGAAAAGTTATGGCTTCCATGCAGCACGATTGGCCGATGTTCCAGAATCTGTGATCACTCTAGCGCGACACAAAGCAGCAGAGCTTGAAAGTAACAATAATAATGTGTCAATGTTCAGATCAATATGCCAAGGCAATGTCCCTGAAAAGAACAATATTACCGTTTAACTCACTTAACCAAAGCTTAGCTATGAGCTGGGAATGTCATAACTTGTGTCAATCGTTATGTACTTGGACATTACGTACCACCCTAATTCTACATGATTCAAGTGGATCTTGAAGTTTCAGTGGTGCTCTGTAATTCTGCTTAGAGATGTATCTCCTTTCATTTGAGCGATTGCCTATGGCTAACCCAGCTTTGAACAATTCTTTCAATAACAGACAAAAAATACCGTATTTTATTTTGTCAAAAAAGTTTTCAGTCATTTCCATATTTAGGAACATTTAGAAATTTCTCATGGTAATAGATTCATATTAACTTAGTCGTATGGCTTTCCTCCCATATAAGTATGAAAATTTTACTCCAAGTATCACTCAACATCTTATTTGTTTACTGTTCTGTTTTTTTTTCTTTCACCTATTTTTTCACATTATTTGCAATCTTGTGAGCAGTTTTCAATTCTGTTCAAAAGTTTTATTATGTCATGTTTTTGCTTCTTACATTTAAACAAGCATTCACACACAAACCCTTATCAAAACAACTTTTTTAGTTGGTGCTATTAGGGCGTGAGATTTATCTAAAGCTAGTATTATAATGCGAGGTCTGCCATTGCATTTTCATACATACCGGTATATGGCGGTACCCCTTGCGTTTTGGTGTCGCAACAGTTATATCAGAGGTTCCCAACCTGGGGGCAATGAGCCGTTTGAGAGGAGCCCACAATGCTAGAAAAACTCTTTTTGGTTTCATTGCTTGATAAGGCTATTTCACAGCGTGTCTTCACTTTGTTTAGCGTGAATTGTTTGAACACAATGGGATTTGGAATCAACTAATCTAATCAACACCATAATTACCACTTGATTGCTATACAGGGGGCATGGGTGCTGTAAGCCTACGAAAGGGGGCCACAGGTCATATAAGGTTGGAAACCACTGATTTATATAATATGATGGAAGATATGGGAACTGTGAATGTAATGGCTCCGGCTATTTTTGTGATGATGGACCAGTTAAAAAATAAATGTATATAATTGTATTGAAATGTGCTAGTTTAAACTTTGACTACTCTCGATATTAAAATTGATTAATTTTGGTGAATGTTTGCTACCATGTTTTGTAGAATAATTAATTTTTTTATTTTTTATTACCGCTTGCCATTTTGTACACACATTTTCTCATTTAAAGAAAAAATTTGGCACTCATTTTGGTTGATATATCCTGAATAGTGATCACAGCCTATTCATTGGCCTATAATTTCCAGGGGTGTGCAACATTTTTTGTCGGTGGGCCGTATAACCAACGTCAGACATCTAGCTGGGCCTCGCGAAATGCGGCTATCGCTCAGCCTCACAGTAATGAAAGCACCAGGCAAGACAGTTTAACAGAGCAACAAGAGAAAAAAACTCTAAGATTTGATTCTGGGAGGGAAAACAACGAAGTGTTAATAGTGGCCCCACTAAATGGCTTGGCCACCAGTTGCACACCCCTGCTCTTTTTGCCATTATCATTCGAACAGTGAACTTTTCTTTTTAAACTGCCATCTTGAGCCATCATTTTTCTGTCAATTTCCTAATAAAACTTTCTTACGAGAGCTTTGTCATAATGTTTTGTGGGATAGAGTGTTAATCAAAGATACCCAATGAATTGGCATTCAAAAATCTGTAAGACAACTTGGAAGTTTTCTTCTGCGCAGCAGTCAAATCAATTGACATTACTCAACTTAGGAGCAAAACTCTCACCTTGTCAAAGCATACCATGGACATTACACTGAGATAAAATGGCCAGGGCTTCCTAAACTGGGGGTCGTGACCTCGCTCAGGGGCACGCAGCAAATTTTAGGGGTCGCAAAAAGTACACCAAGTACTCCTGTACTTTTTTAAACCTATGATTCGAAACAAATATTGAATTTGTGCAAGATTTTGAAAGAATACATAGGATCAGCAAAGCGACGCGCTTTCATAAATATGCCGACGTTGATCCTGAGACCACGCTGGCATAGCAATGCTGACTTTACTGGGCTAGACAATAGGACATATTTCTGATCTTTTGAAAAGTTATATCCTCAGTCTGAACAGTACTCATAAAATAACGATGGGGTTGAAACCTGTTTGGCATGGCCCGCACATTTAATGGGTACATTGCATAGGCAGTGAACTAGACTATGATGGAATCAGTTGGAAGATCTTAGGTGGAAATGTCCAACCAGGAGTATTCAGATCCTTTCAAAAATGTCGTGTCTTTTTCAAAGTAGAAACTCAAATTGATCCTTCACAAGATAATCTTATCCCGCCCAGTATGTTCCCCAGCTTTTCATGTTAGGGGGTGGTAAATATTATTCTACTAGCATTTAATCTATTTTTAAATTTAACAGACGATATACTCTGATAAATATTCCATATTCTAATATATTTAAACACAAAAAAAAACTTGAGATCGGAATTACAGTGTGGTATCACACCTCAAAATTAGGGGGAGGGGGATTACTGAAGTCCCGCCTGTGTCCATAGCCAATTTTCTCATGAGATCAGTGATGTAACTAAGTAAGCTTTACTGTGCTTAAGACAACAGCCAAAAAATCACTTTGTTGGTGATCAAAGTATTGTTTGTGACTTATTCAAATCAATATATTTTGAAAACAATTTTCAAGGCATAATAACAACACTGCAATGAAAATAAGTAAAGCATGAAACGGACGAAGCACCACTATGGCCATTCGATATCAGTTGTTCCAAAACAAAAATATGAAATTTAATCAATTATGTTTGTATATGAATATTCGATCTGCTTTTGAAATCCCTGCTTAAAACGTGTGAGATTCATATAAAATTCTTACCATTATGATTTAGCCAAATCGTACAGTAAAGTCAATTCACTATAGCAGCGGTTGCCAAACTTTTTGTCGGTTCGACGCTAAATTATCATGAAAAAAACTCACAGCGCACACAAACAAAAACAATTCTAGCCTTTAAATAAAACGGACTCAAAAGTATTTGTTATAGAATTTGATTCAAGTTCCGTGCTGTAGTAGGATCCTTTACAACCCAGAGTCTTGAGTATGACCTAAAATCTTTTCAACCGGAATCGGATTATTTCCCTGATTCCAATTTACGTGTAACACCAAATTAGTGAGACAGTTCTGAACTCATCATAGAACTAAAATCGGAAAAGATCATGAACAAAACTGGTACACATACTACAAGAGTATCTAATATTGTACAAAGCTCAAGATAATTTTGTATTATAAGAAACAAATCTCGCGTTCATGGGGTTATCTGGACATTTTTGCCAGTCTTTCTTTAACATTTGCTTTAATTGCGACAGCCTTAAATTTGGGTTCTCTTTTTTCAAACGAGGCATATTTTCTTCTTCAAATTTAGTATACGCTGCTTTCATACGTCTTTCGGGGTGACGCTCTAATTCTGTTGCAACGGATAAAACAGAAATAGCATCTTCTACACTTCGTGCTTCAATGACTTCACCCTGGGCAACCAAGTCTCCAACCAGTCTATTAACATTTTCTTCAACTTTTTCTGAATCGTTTTCTTTCTTCTGAGAGTTTATTTGTCTTTCTTTTTCCAAGCGTTCAATTTCGGCGTTAGCGGCTATTTGGGCTCTCGTTAATTTTTCATTTTTTTTTACTTCGGTTTTCTTAGATTTAAGGCTGTCCATTTCAGCATTATATAATTCCTCCTTTTCTTTTTTTCGGTTCAAATTTTCAGTTCTTTTCATCTCTTTTTCAGCTTTTCTTTGTTGTTTCTTTTGAAGGCTTTTATTATCATCAGCCCAATATGCATCTTCTACTGCTTTTAGTTTTTGTGTCTTCGCTTCATTAGCAACTGCGGCCTTGCGAGCTCGGGCCTCAGATGATTTGCTGTTTTCGCCTCTAAATTTTTTCGGCATGGCGGTGTTTCTGAACTAAATATATAAAAAAGATTGTTAAAAAGGTGCAATACCATTTCATGTTTTATAACAAATAATAGGAAATAATAACACAGTTGATGGCTGATACCTCATAAGTGACACATCATCATCACCTATGAGCTATGAAAATATAACTAAGAATATTTTGGGAAGATGTCTTCTCTTTGGGTTTATCAAAAACAAAATTACAAAGTAGCGAATAAGGAGATTTTTAAATATACAAAATATGGAAACTGATATCCATTTACTTTTTTTTAACACGCTTTTATGAAAGAAAAACATTCAATTTATTCAAAAATTACCATATCATCATCCTCTAGAATTTCTTGCAAGTCACTAGTTTCATTCGTGCTATCTGCTAGGTCTATTTAAAGGGGAGAGCTCATATTGAAATCGTTTTTAAAATTCAGTCTAGGTCTTATTTTCAGGAAGAAATGGTACATGGCAAATGGAGGCCATTGTTTTAGTGCTTTACCTAACTTTTCTCCTATTTTTAATAAATATGAAAAATCCCATGCATGACAGGTTGTCTCTATCTGCAGATCTACTGACTGATCAAGTTTTCTGTAATCAGTTTTATTTATTTGTTTTACCAATTATTTTATGGTCTATTATGGTGTCGAAATAAACTTAATATGCATAATAAATACTAACTAACCTTCAGTTGTTTCTATGCCTCAGCACATCAGTACCACATCAAAAGGCTGAAAGACAACAATCAAATCCCAAAAGGCTCCGATTCCGAGCGTTTCAGATATGAGAATACTGATCCCTTGTAATTTGACAAGAATAATTTATAGATGGGTGGCGCTATTGAGGCGGGTTGAAAGTTGGTATCTCTATCGCCCTCTGACTCTTGCGTGGGTGTTCATTTCGAGTTTTCAACTCCGTAATTTGTGTATTTTTTGTGGTATCATATTCACTGAATATTTACCGGTAATCCGTCAGTTTGGTAAGGATAACCATAGTCTGATAGTGGTACCGCACTAGCCATAAATAGGCATATGATCGAATTTTTTACATGAATGTATTGTTTGTAAAGCGAGCATGATGTGGTGGTGTCAACCACAGACTGACAGAGGAAAATGTAATTAGTAATTACACTCGTTTCGCCTCTCGCGTTCGGTTTTATGGTTAGTGCTGGCTGATGTTCGCTGGTCTTGATTATGTAATTAATTAGAAGACCGTATTACACGGCTCAAGATAAAATAAAACATTTGAATTACAGCTCACCTGAGTCAGCATACATTCCCAATTTATTTTTTCAAAATACATTAGGAATCATCAACTAGGTACCGGTACCATGCCTACTGAACTACGGTACCGTATGCTCCTCCAGGTATCTCTGCATTTTTTTGTCTGTCTACTTTTTGCAGTTTTGTGCTGTTTTGTTTTTATGTCAGAGTACGGAAATGAATGAATGATGCTATGTGTGTTATTTCAAGCATGTTTCTTATAGGCCTACCTTCAGAACTCCAAGAAGGATACACCATTACAGAAATACGGTACTATATCACTGCAGTGCCACAATTTCTTTTTTCACTTTAGTAATTTAAATAGAGAAGTTAGACATAAGCTTCAAGATGGAAGCGTTTTCAAATTGGTTTTGGCAAGATTATTTTTGGTTACCTCAAGGAGTGTCCTTCAGAGATTTGAAAGATCGTCCAGGATTCGTTTATGCCAAACCAAGGGATTTATTTTACGTTCCAGTTGTCGGACTTGGAATTTATTTTGTTAGAATTATATATGAAAGGTAATAGAAAATAATAAATACTGAAATATGGCATTTTCTGTTCTAATATGACACCTTTACCTTTTAGCAAAGCCTTGTGCTGGCCACAGTTGTTCTGGCAACAGTCACAGTATATTCAAACTGTGGCTGTGGATCAGGAGCTTCATTTTTTCACTTCAGAACTAGGCTCAGGCCTCCATACCAATTGAGGTTTTTAAATATGAAGTATCTGTCCTAATTCCGTTTCATGGAAGCTGGACTCAAAACTAGAGGCGCAGTTCTTACCACTTCCTGGTAGCTTCTGCCACAAACGTATCGCAGCATTTCTTGCCATAGTTTTATCGCGCTATTATCTGTATATTCACAAAGTCATGTACAATATTTTAGTTTATTATGCGGAATTATATCCACTTAAACCCAAACCTAACCCCAGATACATCAAAACTGTATTCATAAGAAAAGCGTTCCAACTTACCCAATATTTATCACCATCATGGGCAACCCTGCTATTACAACAGACATTTTGTGATTATGGCAGCAAAATTGGTGGTATTCGATTGGTATCTGTTGGTATTTTGTTTCGCTGTTCGTTTGTGGCAGCTAAAAAGTCAGTCGCGTGGGTTTGGTCATAGCGGCCATGGTTTGGAAATCCTGCCATGGTTTTGCGGCAGCTCTAGACGCCACAAAATACTTGCAAAACTATGAGAGAGGGTTTCAATTTTCAAACTAAAAAGTTCAAATATTTAAATTGAATTTGAAACTTTTAAATTAATATTATAAATTGAGAAAGACAATAAGACAGCTTAATCATGTTGCGTACCACGGCCCCTTGTCCAGTTACCAGTCCTTGTCGGGTATGGGATTAGATAGTTATTTGTTTTGAAAGTATGGACCTAATTTTATTATTTATATAGCGTAATACAAAATTATAAATGTGAAAAAATAATAAGAGGGTTAAGAGATGAAGCCACTGAAATTTTATGGTATTCAAATATTCTATAATTTATTTGGCTTATTTTTTTTTTTAATTCGCCCATGTATGCAGTGCAATTTTTTAGGCTTCGCTCTAATCTAATAAAAGCCCTTGTGCTGATGTTCTAGGTCTATAGAATGTGAAATTCAGAAAATTGAAAGTTCAATTTTGTTTTCAGGTTTATTGCACTGCCATTAGCAAAGAGATTTGGGGTTTCAGATGGGAAGGAAAGAAAACCAGCGCAACCTAATAAACAATTAGAAGAATATTTCAACTTTAAATCAAAACATCCAACTGAGGTAAACACATATTCTCACTGCCGACCGTATGCCTTTGCTGCAGCACTGGACGTCCGCACTTCCATGCAGTAGGGCACAGTTCTTCGATTCCAAATGTTCTGACATTTGGTTCAATATTTGTCTCTGCAACGAGGTGGCTTGGCATGACGTCCGCACTTCCATGCAGTAGGGCACAGTTCTTCGATTCCAAATGTTCTGACATTTGGTTCAATATTTGTCTCTGCAACGAGGTGGCTTGGCAGAGTGTCTTGTAAATGGGGGGGTTTGCACTCACTTTTGCAATTTATGTCTTTTAATGTTGGGCTATTCTCGGAATCGGAGAACTGTACCGTACTGCCATAGGCCCCTTTTTTATTCTAGGTGTGAGATATAGATTTAATCATTATCAATTATAATCATTGTATAGACCGCAAGACCCATAAAGTTACTTTATTCATGGTGATAAAATGTTGATACAAATCCATTTTTCCATTGAATATTTCCTATATGATGTTATTCAACTGAAAATTTAATTTTGTATCTATTGATATTCAATTTCCATTTTCTCCCAACATAAAATTAGCCGTCTGCAGCTTAGTGAATTCTTATTCTGAGGTCAGCCTTTGTTGATTAATAATATTCTTTAGTAGGGACGTCAGCTTTGGTTGAGGTGGATTTATTTTATGTCTGTTTATATTCATAAGACTAAAGGTTCCATTGACTGAAAATATGGTTGGTACTCCCGTAGTGTGTGTACCAGGTTAAGGTTAGGGCATAATTTTATTCTGATTTCCCCTATTTTAGTTCTATCATGAATTCGAGGACTGTCTGTGTTAGCCAAGTGAATATACCATACCCCCTGCCCATAGGCTTCAGTCGGTCTACACAATTCGATGTAATGTAGGCGAACAAAATTAGTTACGGTACCTCTATATTAATACACACACTTTTAAAGTGACAAATATGGCACAGTTTTAATTACTAAGCCATAAATACCGGTAATATACATTTATGTAAGAAACAATGTTTTAACATAGTATTATCAATTAGTTTATCACTCTAGTGTTAAGTGTTTGATAGGAGCTCAAAAATATTTTTAGGGGCTCCCGAAGTATGCGAACCAAGATGGCGGACATCGGAATGTAATATGTGTACTAGGTTAGGGTTAGGCCATAATTTTAGGTATAAATACTACGGGAGGCTCTTGGCTAGTCTTTGAACTGATAATAGGACTAAAATAAGGAAAATTGGAAAAAAAATTATCGCCTATCCCTAACCTGTTACCCATGTTACGTTCCGATGTCCGCCATCTTGGTTCGCATACTTCGGGAGCACCCATTTTTATATGAATAGTATTCATTTTGACATTTACCTATCGGTATCTAAACTAAATGAGTTAGACCAGGGGTTCTCAAACTTTTAGTGTTTCACAGCCCCTGAAGAGGTTGACTAGTATATACGGAGCCTACAGTGGTTTTTACTTATTGATTCATGTTCCTGAGTAAATTAGAATAAATTTATTTAATGTTTCTGATGTGTTTATCGTTGTCAAATTTTATTAATGTTGTTATTACTTCTTTGTAAAGTTCCAAATCAGCCATGTAAACGAATAGCTTGTGAAGCCTCTTTACTTTAAGAGCCTATAATTTAGACAAAATTTTTGTTTTACAAATTACCAACTTCGCTAATTGGTTCAACATTATTATAACGAAAGCTTGCGAATGACAAGATTTTTGTTTACAAAATTAAATTACTGTCTGAAGTTTAGAGCTGGAGTCAAGTTAAAATTTTGAATGAATATTTGTTTTGCTCTATTTTTTGAGTCTGTTTCAGATCTCCCCTTGACAAATCAGCCCCGAAGTTCAAATCCTTTTAAACTTTTCTATAACTTATGTTTGTCCAACGTTTGTTTCTCACTTTCATAAATTAAAATATTAATAATTAATTGCTTTGGCATTTCTTTGTTTGATAACCAGGAAGTTCAAAGTTCATCTTCCGAGTCCCTGCTGTGACATATTTCTCTGTGTTGAATTATTTATGCCAGTGAAACTATCTGTACATTGAGTCTTTGGTACTCCCGAAGTATGTGATCCAAGATGGCGGACACCGGAGCGTTGTAGTATGTGGACCAGATTAGGGTTAGGCCATAATTTCAGATACAAACACTACGAGAGTCTAGTCTGAACTTCTAATAGAACTAAAATAAGGAAAATTGAAATAAAATTATGGCCTAACCCTAACCTGGTACACATACTACATAACCTTGGTTCACATACTTCGGGAGTACTCGTAATATTATCTGTACATTAAGTCTTTGACATAACATAGGGTGTTCATAAAGTAGATTCCAAAATCTTGTCATGTAGTTAGTTTTCAATATATATAACCAGGTTCATTTAATTTTTATCAATACATACTACATACCTATTTAAATATGGCCATCAATAGTTTTCACAATTTTAGTTGTTAGAGTGGTAGTGTCCATATTTGCAGAGAGAAATTTTTTTATTCACATTATTTTTTTCTTTCACAAGAAAGTCAATAGGACACAGAGTTTTTGTGCAACGAAAATGGGCTGCGAAAAAAAAAGGTTGAGATCCACTATAGGAGAATATTCAGTTTTGGTTATCCTTGCTATATATCTCAACAAAATGATATTTTTTATTGGGTCTTCAGTAAGTGAAACTGGAACATGCCGTACTTCAACTTGACATTTTCTCAATACAATAACATCCAATCATGTGATACACAAACCTGGGACACATCTCTTTTTATCTGATGTTTGTGTTTCGTAGGTTGTGATTATGGAGTCTGCTTTCTATTCTCATAAGATAATGACACTTAATTTCATTTGGTATGAAAGGTTTTTGGATCAGTGAAAAAAATACGGTACTTTAAATTTTATTGTGAATTGTCATCATAATCCTGCTATGAATGCTGATATTGGTTGTGTTATTGTTTTATATATTTTATTTTGGAACGTGCGCTATAGCAAGAATAAAGATGCTCATTCTGTTTGATTCAAGATAAATTTTCCAGTAAATACCAATCATTGTTCGCTTTAACCACGTTCACTATATAATAAGTTATATTCAGTGATCTCAAGATCAAATCAAATATTTTGATAAAATCATAGTTTATTATTTCCACAATGTTATAACAAACTGTGTTCCCCCGAAAATAAGACAGGGTCTTATTTCAATTTTTTTCGGAAAACAACACTGAGTTTTATTTTTCGGGGATGTCTTTTATTTTCATTTATCAAAAACAAAATTACAATGTAGAGAATTACAATATTTTTGGCTATCGAGAAAGGAAAAAGAAATTCAAGGCGGTTATGATATTTTTACTTCAAATTGTTTCATCTTGTTGAATTACATATGGTCAAAATTCTTTACATTCATTAGTTACCGTATGTGTAATCAAAGCTTTTCATAAAAAGTCATGAGAGTTTAATAATCACAAAATATATGTTTTTATCACATCCTTAAAACAGATTTTTTAGGTTTTGCTCTTTGCTATGTTCTGTTATTTAAATATTCTGCCCAGATATAGACATGCAAAGTTGGTGTGATGATAGCCTGGTGCAGGCTAGAGCTATTAACTGACTATTATGTATGGTTGTTGGAGACTTAATCATGAAAAATACTCCTGTTCTTTAAAAATAACAGATTGTAAAGCATAAGTAATTATACGGGGGTCGTGACCCCCAGTTAAAAAAAATTTTGGCGCAAAATTTCTACCTTCTACAAAAAAGCAACCTCGTTGTACAAATCCTACAAATCCTGTCATCAAAACAACCACTTATTAAACAGAGACACAATTTAACATCAAAAACTTGTAATAAAGGGCATTATATTATTTTTACTTCAAATTGTTATCCCCTTATTGAATTACATTACGAGCCAAACTCTAAAGGTTTTTAATTAGTGTAGTCAAGTTTTTAAGTAATCGATGCTTATCAATAAAAATTTATGCTAGTTTAAAATTTAAAAATGTACGTTTTTCTAATCAATTTTCTCAAGATTTTTCAAAAGTTGCATTATCGAATTCATATGAGCGGAATTCTATACATTCTTTAGTTATGTGTAATCAATGCTGATTGTGTGATGCTTGCAAAATTTATAGAATACACACCTAACATATTTACTTAATGCTTTCTATTGTGCAATAGACTAGTTCTTGCACAACAGGACTTTGTACTTTCTATCAAGGAAGCCTGTTGCTGTCTTTGTCTGCATGATTAATTTCATCAATATGTTTTTATTGTTATCAATAGGAAAATCACGCTAGGTTTTTGGGACTTTTTGCTGACAGCATCCAATTTGATATGACCTGTTTGTTTTGTTAATATTGCTGACAATCTTGCTATTCTCAACTGAGGCCAGGAATTTCCCATTAAATTTAACATTTTAATTAATTCAAAGCTATGGCCTGGCATGAAATACGTTTTAACTGAATAAACTCTAGAATGAAACTCAAACTAAAACATTCTAAACTAAGCATATGCAACAATTTTTGTAGGTTGGCCAAATAAGCAATCTAAGACCAAATGTATTTATTCCATGAGGGAAGGGCAAGATGGGAGAATGAGGAATTGCTTAGCCTTGCAGTAATAAAGACATCGTAAGACGTCAGAAGATTTAACATAATAACAGGAGCAAAAAATATTATTTAATTTTACCCATGTGAACGCCCTTATGAACATAAGCTGTCGGATTAGGTTTTTATGCCCGATGGGGAAAATCTTAGTGTTGGGCCGCACTGAATGACTTGGCGGACCTGTTATACACACCTGTTTCAAACACTTTGCTTGCATACTTAGCATGCTTCGCTTGCAAAGCCTTTCTTTCTGAACAATGCTTCAAACAAGATTTATAAAAATTCGCATACAAGCTGACTCTACAAATCGTAACATGTCGTGCGAGTTGTAGCTGTTGGAATGGCATAATGCCATTTCGTTTGAGTGCGATCAGAGTTGAGCCAGTTGGCTGGCTGAGGCAACTAGCGAAGTTTAATGATGCGCTTGGCTAGTCTAAATTGTTAACTGGCTTTCTTTTTTTTTTTGGTCGGGAATATATGCTAACAATTTTGGCATCATATTAAACTAAAAATCGAATGCGGATTTTGTTAGCCTAGGTTGGCTTGATAAGTGGCAAATACTGACCAATGTGTTTGCACAATAAAAGTGTTTATTTTGTATTGCACTGGTTACCTATTCTTGGTACTATTGTGGCCCGGGAACAATGCAAAAATAACTGCCACAAGCCAGTCTGCCACCCCCTGCTTGAAACTTGCAAACTCAAAGGAATCGATAAAGCCACACTTTTTTTAGTTTTATAGTTTTAAACTCATCTTAAATGTGCGAGGATATACATACTATAATATGTGTACTATATTTGTGGGCGAACATGAAATTTATTGCTAACTTTATTCTTGCTTCTAACTAGCTAAAATATATGGCACGAAGGGTATAAGTTGAACTGATATCTAAACAGTTTTCTTGTTACTATGCTTTAATATGAAATCTTTCTCCAATCTCTCTTCAAGAAGTTACTCAAATATATTTGTTGTTCTACTCAATTTTTGGAATAACCCAAGTTTCAGTGCTATCTTTATTCTTGCCTTTAACTAGATGTGACTGAGGTAACAGTTTTCTTATTACTATGCTTTAATATGAAATCTTTCTCCTTGAACAAAGCTTTAGATAAGAAGTTACTCAAATATATTTGTGGTACTACTCATTTTTAGAGTAACCTGAGTTTCAGTGCTATTTTTATTCTTGCCCCCACTAGATGTAACTGAGGTAACTCTAACTATCTCAGACTAGTCAAATATTTAAATACATCGATTATATATGATTCAGTAAATTCTTCAGTTAAGATTAATTTAGAATATTTTTATTAGAAAATGTCTTTTTAGCTTTTATTATTTTATGATAGAGAAAAAATTATTAACTACTGACAAAACACAGTAGAGAGTACTATGAGAGTATTAAGGCAATGTTTATTCCAATTGTTGTGCATGACGAAATTTGATTTCCACGATTTTTAAATTGAGGTCGGAATAAAAGGATCCGAATTAGGCAAAGGCAGGAATACATCGGGAAGGTTAGGGACCTGATGCACTAGACCAGGGGTGGGCAACATACGGCCCACGGGCCGGGTCCGGCCCGCTGAATGTACATCATTACATTATGATAATAATTATTACACTTTTAGTACATTATGATAAATTCATCATGTGTTTTTTGGTCTCTATTTTTAGTAAAGTTTAAACTTTACTTTGAACGCGATTCATAACTTTCTTTCTTGCATTGTCGAATAAACATGTGATTAAGATATTGAATACTATTCATGTTATAATTTGGCCCACTGAGGACTTCATTCTCTCACATCCGGCCTGCCGACTAGAGAAGTTGCCCACCCCTGCACTAGACGAACGCACCCACAAGTCCTTAAAGCTGAATGCATGCCGTTGCTCGCTAATCAAATTTGGTTTCTTGCGGCTCCCCTCATTGTTTTTAATTATTTATTGCAATTTGTATATCAAGTGTGTTTTCAATATGGTGAGAAAATAAACTACTGATTACTGATTAATAATTGTATGCCTTGCTATCGTGTTAAATGTCACATTGGTGTCACATTTGGCATTCCTTGAGGCTATTTACTTATCATGAGATTCAGGAATTTTATCAGGGTTGCGTTTTCTATACCCTTCACTTGAACTTTTGTGTAATAAATCTGGTAGGACAACATTTTTTGTTGATATTAGAACATTAGTTTGTTTTATGTTATAAGTATTTTCTTATTGATTGAACAAAAATGGCTCATATACGATAAAAATAGTTTTTAAACTAGAAAGTCTTTCCAATATCATGATAGCTTCATATGTATCAGTGGAAACTTGTCTAGTACCTTGTGTGTACCTAGAAAAACTGACCAACTGTTGCCCTAACTAAAGAAATCGTTGTGAATATTGTAAAATATGTCTATGTTCACCATATCAATTAAAAATTGTTCGAATCAGAAGGATCTTAATCCTTACAAAATTAGGTACTCCCGTAGAATGTGAACCAAGATGGTGGACACCGGAACGTAGTATGCTTACCAGGGTTAGGCCATAATTTCAGGTACAAATACTCGGTCACTTGGCTAGTCCCCGAACTTGTAATAGAACTAAAATAAGGAAAATTGGAATTTGGCCTAACCCTAACCTGGTGCACATACTACATTTCGGTGTCCGCTATCTTGGTTCACATACTTCGGGAGCTCCCAAAATTATAGTAGCTACGTAATGGCTACATGCCCAGTGCCTCGTTTGCAAAGTTGTGTAATGCTTAAAAAAAATGTAACTGTTGATTTATTTAGAGCAGTGGTTTTTAAACGGGGGTGTGTACTTTTGAGGGGGCGTGAAGCTAATTGAAGATTGTTCTTGTTGAAGAATATTCGCGGTTCCCAATGGGTGCGCTGTGGTATGTTGCTGAATGCGCCGCGAAAATTAACATAATTATGCCAAACATAACTATTATACGAGTATGATTAAATATTTTACATATTGTATTTATTATAAATGTTTTATTGTTTCTTATCTTAAATGCTGTGTATATGGATTGACTTTTTGCCCTTAACTAAACTTTAAAAGACATAAAGTAAACATTAATGAGTTTTATTAAAACAAATTGATCAGAAATTCGAGTATTATTTAATGTGTGTAAGTGCACCGTGAGTTTTTTGTCCCTGATAATTTGGCGAAACGAAAAGTTTTTGAACATCTGCCCTAGGTAATAGCACTTTGGTTACTGATCAATTGTAATAACATTTCATCTTCTGTTTAACAGGCAGAAATTGACGGCCTTTCAAAACAATTGGATTGGTCAACGCTCGCAATCAAACGATGGTTCAGAAGGAAAAGAAATTTAAGTCGACCGAGTCTACAAACGAAGTTTTGCGAAGCGAGGTGAGAGATGACAATTCTGTTTTTTACACAACGCTCACAAATCTTCTCGCTTGCTTAAAAAAGGGTGTTCTAAAGCAGCCACTGATGTGAAATGATTTGTAGAGAGCAACTAGTTCGGAAAAACTGAAATCTTTCTGTTTCAGCATTGACTACACCGCGGGTGTGCAAACTGCGGCACGCGGGCCAAATGAAGCACATAAGGAGAAATTGTGCAACCCGACCCGCAAAGCGAGTTTTTAATTTAGTTTAATCGAGTAATTCCAATCCCTTTGCGCTGCAAAGCCTACACCTGAGCCAATTCATCATCTATTCATATGACGTTACAACGCCCTAACAGCTAGCTTTTGCGAAATGAACAACGCATGTCATAAAATCAATAACCAAACTTTTGTGTCAGCAATTACTAAAAAACCTATGTTTAAATAAAGGTGCGGCCCTCAGTTTGACCCAGTTATTTGTATCTGGCCCTCCTGTATTAAAGGTTGCCCACCCCTGGCCCTACATAATTCATTATAGGCTACTTCGAGTGAGCTGATGGCCATGAGATTTGAACCTGTGATATGTAATCTGCGATACTAACACAGTTAACTTTTTAACTGCATCACGGCACATTGAAATTGTTACAAACATTTTGAATCATTGAAATGGTATTGGAATTAGGGATGTTTAAAAAAAATCAGAAATCTATTTCAATTCTTGTGTAGAAATTGGTAAAAACACAGGTAATCAGGTTGCAATGTAATGTCTAGCAAACAAATTAGACACATACGCAATTAATCAATAATGCTTTCACTTAGGATTTCAAAATGATTTGTTTTTTTTCTCTGATGAGTCTTATAATTGAAAGGAATTGTAATAATGACTCATTCATTTATTCATTTGACTATTTCCTTTCCTTCAGTCTAGGATAATTATTCCAATAATTAGGCTTGCAATATTTATAGCAGTTTCTCATTTTTTGAGCTTTGAAATTTATTGTCATATACAAACCGACTTTATTAAGCAATTAGGATTGCTCATCCGGGATTTAATAGATTGTGTAGGTCGTAGGGCAAGAGTATGCAACAGACGACCTGTGGGCCACAACCGGCCCGCCAAGCTATTTAGTGTGGCCCTTTTGAACACTGAGATTTTTTCCCATCAAGCATAAAATCCTAATCCGACAGTTTGTTTGAAAGGGTTCTCACATTGATAAAAATACAATTTTTTTTTGCTTTCGTCGCTGCGTCAAATCTTTCTTTTTATTCATGCCATGATTGTGTGTGACCTCTTTTGTTCAAAATGATAGTTTTTCACATGTAATGCTATTCCAAATTATTCCTGAAACCAAAAATTTTGAAAATTGAATATTGTAAACTTTGAATCAATCGGAGTATTCGATTCCTTATTATGGACATGCAAAATTACTAGCAGTGCTATTGTCCACACTGAGAAACATTAATATGAATTATATTGTAATAATATTTAATTAAAAATAAATTTTCAATGTGGGGAATTAATATGGAATTTGAATTTATCAATGAATTGATAATTAGTGTATGTTCATATATAATACTCTTCTCTGATAAATCAATATATCTGGCAAAGCTTGGCTATGGCTTGTCTTGGTTACTGAAACAATATATATGCTGGTGCTTTATGCCCTAAAAATAGCGATTAATATGAAACCTTTAGCAATTTAAGTCAATATGTTCGGAAACTCCATGTATGCCAATTATAATAAAGATGTTTAATAGAGCGCTGTACCTTATGACGCTGAACTATGTTACAGCAAAAGCCTGTAAAATTTATATTATGTGGAATATGGTTCTGTGCTTTTCTAGCTGATTGGTCACATATAGCTTTTATTAAGTGTCGGAGGCATTGAGAAAGTCCAAATATACTTTTGTGAATGTTCAATGAAACTTATATTATGTGAAATAAGATGCTACTCTGTAAATTTAAATTTAGATTGTTCAATTATTTTTTAAATGGCTATTTTGAAATTCAATCACGATTTAAAATCAAGTTATCTAGTCATTGATCAGTCAATTAACTAATATATGTAGCAAACAGCTTTCTCACGCTTTATGACAACATGTTTCATGTTCTGACATTAGCTGTCTTTATCAATCATTACAGTAATCAATATGGAAATATTGACCCCTTTTTGACATCAGGAAGTTAATTAATAAGGAAGTTGTAGGAATTAATCTTTTGCCTTGTGCCAAATTGTACATCAATATCCTGTAATGCAAGGGCTCAAAGGCTTCAAACTCTTCTCCCCCTACTATATTTACAAACCTTGGGCCTCCTGAAGTATGTGGCGCACAATCTGAACTCAGGTTATGTACCAGGTCAGGGTTCGGGTTATGCGACTGTTGGTGTGCAAACTTCAGGAGTACCAAAACCTTTTTTTATTTATTTACAAACTATAATGGATCATTAGCTAATGATATATACAAATAGCACTTTGGTTTTTGTACAATTTAAGTTGTTTATAATGTGTGTGTAAACATGGATTACCATGACACTAATTATATAAAAAATATCAGTAATACTACATGTAAATACAAGGTAATTTTTTCTCCCTAAAAACAATAAAGTTCCTTTCCAATAGGGGAACGCTGCCTCTATTCTTTATCCACAAAAACATTGTGTGTCCACATATTCTAAGGAAGACTGAGTAAATCAAGGCCACATGCATCGTTCGCACATAAACACATATCAAACTGCTTAAAGCTTTGTATTATTAATCTGATTCTTTTTGGTTATTGGGCTAATCAAATATTTAACAATTTCTTGCGTTCGCGACTCAAACTTTTTACCATGAGGCATAAAAACTATGTTTGGTTATTTGAAGCTTTAAGCTAATGCTATGCGCAACTAGCAGCTCCGAATTTCGTACAGTTTGAACATTTTATAATAAATCATTAAATAGGTATTTAAATAATACTAAGTAACCAAACGAATTTGTGAAATACACCAAATACAAAGTAATATTTGATTCCCGTGAATATTAACCCCAACCTCTCCCCCCTTTATGTTTATTACCTTCCATATGAGTGTTTGCTTGCCAATTTGGCTAGGTTATATAGTTAATAAAAATTGAGATCATTCTTACCTTGAGCTTGGAATTACACTTATTTTCCTTTTTTTCCAGTTGGCGATGTATGTTCTACACTTTGGTCTTTACTTTTGGAATGGGAACACTATGGCAGGTGGGTTTTCTTTACTTATTTTTCATCATTTACGTGATTTTGCAGCAATGTCTGGTACACTTTTATTCTGTCTCTGTCGTGGGCTAAGCGATGCGGCGCATTGTGCTAAGCATTAGGAATATGCTCGCCACCGCACCTCTGATTACCCTGCATAGGTTCAAATCCTGTGGGAGATAATTAGGTGCGAGAGGATTGCTTGTCTTCTCGCTGCCGTAGGTTAAGTTTCCTCCACCATCAAATAGCATATGAAACAAATAATTGGCAAACTAATCCCATAACCGACAGTGGACTAGTAACTGAAAGTGGGGTCGTGGTTCCCCATATGATAAAAGCCGGCTTTTCTCTTCCCAAGGATAAATATGTAAATCCTATCCTATTTAACTGTCTTGCCATTTTTATATCTCACTTTTGGTTGCTGTTGCACTTATGTTTCTAAGACTATCACCGCGACTCAGTTTGTGTTTTCAGAATTTTCATTGACAGTATGCATCTCATGTAATTGACAGTACACATCTCAATAACTGAACGTACTGTACATGCGCCCTTTATTAATGAGGGGGCCATTTAAATGACGATTGCGCCCATATATCCACCCCTATTCCAAACCTACTGATTATATATCAGCCCAATAGCCTTCCACAGAGAAAGCGATTCAAATGACGATTGGGGCCATAATTATATCCGTCCTGATTTCTAACCTGCTGCCACTATGACACCCTTATAGCCCCCTATAAATGGGGTTATGGGGGAACAACTACCATTCTGTTTGTTATTCAATGAACGGTGCTCCCGAAGTATGCGAACCAAGATGGCGGACATCGGAACGTAACATAGGTAACAGGTTAGGGTTAGGCGATCATTTTTTTCCAATTCACCTTATTTTAGTCCTATTATCAGTTCGAAGACTAGCCAAGAGCCTCCCGTAGTATTTATACCTAAAATTATGGCCTAACCCTAACCTAGTACACATATTACATTCCGATGTCCGCCATCTTGGTTCGCCTACTTCGGGAGCCCCCAATGAACTGCGGTTTCCATGGTTACCTCGCATGTCGCCTCGCTTTCATTGTAAGTAACAAGTGACATTGGGACAAAACGTATCTTAGACTTACAAGTCTTAAACATATCTCAAAAGTTCGGTTTTCGTTAGTATTCTATGTTCCTCATAACCACTATGTAGAGAATAGCAGTGAATATTATTAAAATTAAAACCTTTTTGTTCCAGACTCCATGGTTTTGGGATAATTTGCAATGCTGGGTTGACTACCCCCGTCAATCTGTCGAACAATCAACTTATATATATTATATGCTGGAAGCAAGTTTTTATGTTTCTTTGCTGTTTACAGTTATGCAAGATGTCAAAAGAAAGGTAAGAGGATTTGATTTTTTTTAAATTGTTTCTGTTTAAGTGGTTATTTAGATAAAAGGATTTGTAGTTAGAGTACGACGTCGTTGCTTTTTCGTAGAAGGTAGAAATTTTGCATCAAAAATTTATTTAAACAGGGGGTTACGACCCCCGTACCAGCCCATTCAACTCTTCCATGATTCCTACTTTGTTTTGGAAAAAAGTTCGGGTCCTAACTTAGAAAAAAACATAAATTTCTACCATGAAAATGTTGATGTATGCAAGCAATTGTAAGTTTAGCTTTCATAGTTCATAGTTTTAGTCTGAAATACTTATTGCCACTGTTGACTTGATTTCCACCATCAAATGACTGAAATTCTGGTTTTCAACTCAAGAGAATTCTAAAAAACCTTTAAATAAATTTAAAGTGAAAAACAAATTCGACAGAGCACACAGAATTTTTTTTGGTTAAATGAAAATTATAGCGCTCCCGCGACAACAATAATCTTTGACCACTGGAAATTTCAAATATTTTTAACCTGTAGGTAACAGTAAAGCGATTTAGAAACACCAAGAAAATGCGGAATGACAACATTAGCTTATAACGCAAAAAACTAAATGCTCTTACAGCTCCCCTGATATTCCCTCGCGGGCCCTTTTCAGTTTGAGAGCCACTAGATTACATTGATTATTCATGGTTTATTTTTTATTTAATCGTGTGAGTATCATCGTACTTCACTTACATGAAACATTGGTATTTTTTTCAGGACTTCAAAGTTCAACTGATCCATCATGTTGCGACGTTATTTCTGATTGGGTTTTCATATGCCGCAAACTTCGTGAGAGCCGGAACGCTTGTCATGGCCGTCCATGATATTTCAGACATTTTCCTAGAAGGGGCAAAGTGCTTTATTTATATTAAATGGAATAATTTTGCTGACACCTTGTTCATCTTTTTTGCACTTTCTTTTCTTATATCAAGACTGGTTATTTTTCCTTTTTGGTGAGTTGTTTTTTTGTTTTTCACAAACTTTCGTGGTTTGTGGCACTTACCCGAGGACTCTTTGTTTGTGGCCCCCAGACACGCCGCCAAATTGAGCGATAATATTTTGACTTATCAGTGAACAAATTCGAATAAATTACAAATAAAAGTATTTCATTTTATCCATTTTTTACAAAGGCCATGAAAGCCATCTTTGTTGATTACTTTCTCAATTCAAGATCTGGCCATGGACATTTATATGTATGTCTTGTTTATAGTGAAAGTGGAAAACCCTTCATAAAAAATCATCAACAACTTCCTAAAAATTTCATTTTCAATTTGCGAAGCCATTCAGATTTTAATTCTTTCAAAAGTAGTATCAGCAATTGTTTGTTTAGTCCAGGGGTGTGCAACATTGGGCAATATAACCAACTCTAGACATGTCGCTGGGCCACACAAAACTTAGCGGGAGAAAAAGAGAATGCGCTATCGCTTAGCCTTACAGTAATGAATGCATCGGGCAAAACGGTGAAAGAATTACCATATTGACAAGAGCAAAAAATAACATCTAGTTTTACCCATGTGAGCGCCATTTCGAAAATGAACCTGACGGATTAGGATTTTACGCTTGATGCGTGAATCTGTGGGTTGACAAGGGCCACACTAAATGACCTGGCGGGCTGGGTTGCGGATTGCGGGCACACCCCTGGTTTACTTTTTAAAGCGGGGGTGGGCAAGATATTTGGACCAAGGGCAAAAAATACTCATCTAGACTGGCGGGCCATGTAAGTGTGGCATAAAAAGTTATGTTCAATGAACAATATTCACAGTGCTACAAAAGCAAAGATGAAAAACAGTGAACCCCGCGCCTAAACTATATTCAATCGCAATCTCAACAAATTTCTTAGCCATTTTTTATAACATCTAAATTTGGTTTTAGTTTGGTTGCGGTAGCATCAGGCGGGCCAGATTAAATTATCCGACAGCGGGATTTGGTCCACTGACTGTAGTTTGCCATGTCAGCTGTAGAACCTTGTTTCAAATCAATACGCGAAAACACATTTTACAATTAACATCATTTTACGATTGGGCTGTGACCTGCGGACCACCTGTTGCACACCCCTGGTTTAGGCTTCAAAGCCTTGTCCCAAATAAACTTGCGAAAACACATTTTACAATTAGCATCATTTTACAATTTGGTTGTGAGCTGCGAGCCACTTGTTGCACACCCCTAGTTTGGCTTCGAAGCCTTGTTCCGAATAAACTTGCGAAAACACATTTTACAATCAACTGAAATCTTCTTTTTTTTCACAGGATTATTCATACCACATACATAAAGAGCATGTGGTTATTCGACCCGTACCCAGGATATTATTTCTTCAACGCTTTGTTGATGGTGTTGCAAGTCCTTCATATATTCTGGTCCTACTTAATATTACGTATGGCATTTTTTATGGTGACTGCTGGAAAGGTAAGGGTGAGCAGCCTTTTTTCTACACTGGATTTTTGCTTGAGAAATTAATAGCACTACTACTACCACTCTGCGTGCGCACACTGAAACGTTTAATTCCACATTACATACGTACAATTTGGTGGTGTAAGTATACTACTAAGGGGTGAGTCGGCACTTTCTCTGATAATAATCATTTTCGAAAGCATGATTCGGTATTTTTCGATCAAAAAATGTTTGCATGCCCTCGTGATCGGTTTTGTGTTCAGTGCCTGACGAATCAAACGTTCAAATCGCCGTTTATTTATTTTTTAGCGTGCCTATTTTTATTACAAAAAGCAGATTATGCCTGAAATATATATATAGCTTTTAATCGTGTCGGTATATTTGATTCGATTTTTCTCTAATTGAGTTCATCTTTTATTTTTTCATTGTGCATATTTTTTCTACAAAAATCAAAAATTTGAATACACCCATCTTTCAATTATATCTGTATATTGTCCACCATTGTCACCGAATTCTTCATAAAAAGCATAAATTGTGAAATTTTTAGAATTTCTTACTCCAAACTTTATACATATTTTTTTTCAATATTCCATCTTCAGCCATTCTAGAGCAGTTGTCGGCAAAGTTTTTTAAGTGAGGCCCAAATATTAAAATGGAAAAGGTTTCAAGGCTCAACAATTTCTTAGAAAATTTTAAATTCAACCACATAATGAAATTGTTGATAAGATGCATTCAATTTGTTTAGTTAAAATAAACCTGAACGTAATGTATGATCGTTTGATATATGATGAACAAAAACCATTTGGCAAAAAATTTAGCTGTAATGTTGGACTTACAGATCTTTTTTGTGTATCCTAATTTTATAATATTAATTTTTGGGGCCATAATTTTATTGGGGACACACAAGAAAATGCTTGGCGCCCAAGATTGGACCGCGGACTATTGTTCTAGCTAGAGCTACAATTTGTCACATTTTGAGTATTTAGAACTTATTAAATGTATGGAAAATTCTTATTTCGCAAAGCAAATTCATATATATTTCCCTATTTTGTGAGGCGTAAGTATTGGAAAAGCTGTAATTAAGCCATCTTATGGCATATGAGATAGTATTCTGGTTATATCCCCTTTATCACTCATTAGATGAGTAGGTGACACAAGTTTCAATCAAAGATTTTAGCCTTGTACAACTCTCAATTATCATTTTATCACTCATTAGGCGAGTAGGTGCCACAAAGTGCTACAACTGGTCCAACTTTTTCAAAGGAAAGCTCCACATTTTTAATGTTGATGCATATCATTATTTTCTTGTACAATTTACAAGTGATCCTGTCACATCTTAGCCAGTATTTAGGTCGAATTTTATTTTCAGGTTTAAATATAAAATACTATCCAAACCTAACCATCAACAATAATTAATTCTTCAATTCTTTTTCTTTCATATATAAACCTTTGAAAACAATAAAGGTAGCGGTAAGTACATGTAGAAAGCATTTTTCAAAATCTTAGTTTCGTGCGATCTTAGAAAACTAAAACATGCACTAATTTATCAAACTAACTCAAATATTTTCAATTTTTCTGACTCCCAAAATCTAATTAGCTATTTGTGTTCTACTGACCATTAACACTGTGCTGGTACCATTTATGAGAAAACTTATTTTCTGGGAAAACATGTAAATAACCAATTTCTCTATGTTATTGCTTAAAGTTAATATTTATTATTATCATGAAATGCAAGAAATCAGTGACTATTTAATTTTTCATTCAATATTAGATAAAATACCTGTTTTGAACCATGAAAATAGCACATCATTTATAGAAAACTTAAAATGGACTCAGTGGTGGCCATTAAATTATGATAAATATAAAAATCGCCATACATACACTACCTAATTCATCCATACATTCGTGCAATCGATTTTTGAGAAAAGAAATAGGATTTAAAGTGCCGTTATTATCACAATTAAAATAAATAAATAAATTTTTAATTTGAATTCGAACAATTTAATAGAACAGTGTTTACCAGCTGGAGGACGCGGACTCAAATGAGACAGCAGAGGCACCTGTTAAGTCCACAGGCGCATTGGCTACATCGAGCAACTTATGATAAAAAACAATAACTTACTTGTAACGCCGAACTTTTTCTGTTTCGTGGAAAATTGAGAGCAAAAGCGCAAATGTAAAGCGATAAATAGTGTTTTTATAGTTGCCCTCAGTAATCAAATTTCAAGAAAAGCAACATTTACTTAATTCAGGTGTCGTGAGTCCGCGCCATTATTTTTGTTTCTGAAATAGCCTGCGGTCAAAAACGGTTGGGAAACACTGTTTGTCCAGAGATTGATTCATTTTATCATATGATTATTTCACCTACATCTGCTTGTATTTGTTTTACTTCACGAGCATTCATTTGCAGTGTGTGTGTGTGGCTTGCCTTGTGTGATTCAATGGTTTGTCAAATCAATTCGAAATCATCCAGTTAATATATTACAGGTTGCCCCAAAAAAACAGAATTCATACAATAGGTTCCAAATGTACTGAATTTCGTTTTTTTGGGGTCACGCTGTATATATAGCACATGATTGTCACATATATCATACTATTTACTTATCAAGATTCGGCATTACGCCTTAATAATACACCTATGTAAATGTTTGTGGCTTCACCATATCATGCACTGATGAAGTTTTCTGAATAAAAATTCTAATTTTTGCAAGTTGCATCGTTTTCCTAACACACATTGTGCTGTATATATCCTCAATATATTGTGTGCCGATTTGTGAGTTTGCTTGTTCAATTGTGTGTGCCTCAGATTTGCATCCGATGTTATTATTAATATTAAAGGTGTCACAAGGAAACAAGACTCTGTATTTATAAAAAAAAAATGAAGAGTACTCAGGACTTGTGACATCTTTAATTTGTGTTCTGATTTTGCATTTCTAAATTAACATGGCTGTGACTGCTTTGTGCTGGCTACATGGATATCATCAGCTGGTTAAAAAGCGATAGAGTACGGAGTCGTAGTGTTAGAAATTGACCAGATGTTGACCAATATTTTGTATCTTTTTTTGGAATTAGACTTCATTGACTTTAATGTAGTAACTTAGATCTCACATCTGATATTTAAAAAGATTGTTTTACTATTCTCCCATCTCTTTGTTATTAGTAGGGTATTGGTTGTTAGATTATGAAATTAAAATGAGAATTAGGATAAAAAGAAAATACCATCAATTTGTCAAGTTTGAAAAAACAAATTAAGAGAAGAGCTCATTTCGTTTCAATCAAATTGTATTTTTTTATCCCGAATTTTTAGACCTCATAATTGCTGCATTTGTTCTGATAACTGGTGCAATTCGCTAACTGAAATTTTTATTCTATAATTATAACTGCTATCAAGGTAGTAATTAATAGCACCAAATAAATTAATAATTAATTACTAATTGAGAAACACATAAAAAAAAAATTCTAAAAGATTTTTTTACAACGAAATTTAAGGTTGAAAAGGATGATCGTAGTGACGTTGAGGAAGTGTCAACAGACGAGGATACACCCAACCATGAACAGAATTCTATCAACCATGACAAGAAATCAACCATGCAGAACGACAACCATACGGCAACGAAAAACGGGCCTACAACAAAAGCTAAACACAGAAAATAATATTTTTTTGGCTCTTTCTAAAATGCCAAATTTAAATATTAGAATTACCTCTCATAAGACTAAACATTCTGCCATATTTGCTGCTTACAAACTGCTCTTGTAACTATGGTAACTATGTCAGATAATCGCAGATTTCTGTTATATCCAATACTTTTCCTTAAAACCACGCCAATTATTTGTACAATCAAATTTATTTGAACCTATCATTATTGACTAATAATTTACCCCTATTACTGCTTATTTGTCTAAGTATGGAGAATATTTGCAGTGTATATCAGTATACTCCACACTTTAAAAAAATGAAAATAGTTTTACTTATCAAATATTATCAGTGGGTGTTTATCTATGCCTTATCTTTTATCTGCTGATAAGTATACAGTTGATAACAGTGTTAGATAACCATCATGATTTAATATTGTGGGAAACAAGTTTGAAATGGCACAAAAAACTAAGCATAACAGGAAATATTTCACATTTATATCTTAAATATAATTATTTGATAAGTATGTAACTGATAGATAAGAACTCAGATAAGGCTATATTTGAGTTTGATTGGTTTTTCAGAACATAATAATGTATCAGTGGTTTATCTAATTGTGATAAGCATTGATAATCCTCTAAATAATTATTTGGGCATTATAGATAACACACCCTTTAACTATTTTGATAACTGGCTCTCATCAAACTTACTTTTTATTTTTTTTACTTTTATTCCAATGAATAGAAAACTACATGACAGAATGGAATCTAATTCAATCACTTCAAAATATTATGTTAATTTTACATGATTTTTTGTAGCCTTTATTAATCAATTTAAAATCAGTCTCCTTCATTTAAAATCATGATTACTTGATAAAATGTGACATGGGGTCAGTATTGCTTAATCACTTCACTTTTTGACCTTGGAAAAGCTTTCAACATGAGAGGTCACATTTTTACTGGGCTATCTGGGAAAATGATTTGAACAAAGTCACACTAAATCTTACTTTAAGTTATGAAAAGTAAAATATTCACCAAAGGATGTATAACAATTTCTATGATGAGGATTTACTCAAAAGAAAAGATACTCACACTCACTCTGAACTGCTAAAAGTCTCTCGTTAACTGAAATTTACTGGATTTTAATTTACCACCATAAGTCTTTATATTTGCTATGCTTGGAGGCACGAGACTTTTCTTTGAGAAAAATCTTAAAAAAATCCTGTTATGTTCTCGCTTTCGACTTCTCAATTGTTCCGCAAACTTACTGACCAAACTAATGTGATAAAATGCCTCTTTCGATGAAAAAATCATATTTAAGAAATTGCATTTGTGTTTTCACCGTGCCAGTCTTTGTATCAATGATTTTCCACATGATTCTTTTTGTCAGCAGTAATACATTTCTTTATTATTAAAAAGTACATACCCAGTCAGAAAATCTGTTCTTTCTACATGGTCATATATATGGACAATGCTACAAGGCTTTATATATGCAATAGGCTCAAGGAATTTCTCAACAAGTATTTTGTTTTTCCGAAGTTCGGTGTAACTGGATGTTAAAATATGCTTCACAAAATTTGGGGAAATTTAAACCCAGTTTGCAGTTAGTGTGGGCTTAGGGTAGTTCACTATTTCCCAACCTATGGGACGCGACTCTAAACTGCATCGCCTGGAGATTTTCTTGGGTCGCTTGTTTTTTTCAACAAAAACCTTAAAGTTAATCATTTTATTCTCCAATAAATTTTATTGTTCATTTTGTATTTGGTATAGAAGTGTTGCTCATTAGTAATTGGGTACTCCTGAAGTATGCGCACCAAGATGTCACATAACCTGAACCCTAACCTTGTACACAACCTGAGTTCAGGTTGTGCGTCATCTTGGTGCGCATACTTCAGGAGGTCCAGTAATTGTATGTGTAGGAAGTATCACAATGAAATTTTGACAGACCTTTTTTTGCTTAGTAAATCCACGCCACAATTTCAAAGAAGAATACTGTATTCTTATTTAAAGCCAGACTATTTTATTTGATAATTCCTCAGTCTACAATAAAGGCAGAACATTGAAGGTCATTGGCACATGTCACAGAGAAATAATTGATGCTTTGTGTCTATGTCTTCGCATATTAGCAATTTGTTTACAGCCTTTTCCCAAGGGAAAATTGAGGCATTGCTCAAGAAATTTTAACTTCTTCAACAGAAACAAAATATTTAACCCTCTATCAGACTCAAATTCACAAAACTGCAAATAAAAGTTTAGAGTCATAAGGTAGCATGCATGAAAAACCTTTTTGGGAATAAATTTTTAGCGTCATCTTGCTGAATGGGAGGTAAGGTCTTAAGAGTTGACGACGAGTTTAAACTGTTCCCCAAATATAACAATATGTCAAATTTCCAAGTATTTGAAACGATGATCTATTTGAAAGTGAATCTACAGCCTGTCTTCGGTCCATATATAATCCATGCTTAGAAAGGACATTTATTTCTGACTGGGCAAAATTAATTTTTTTTTATTATATTTGCTTGCTATGATCATTGCATGTTTATCCTATACAGTATATTTCACTTGATTTTTCACTTTTTTTATAAGTTTGAAGAGAATCAGATGATAACTTATAAATTCATATTTTTGTTACTTTTTTTCCAATTGTAAATAGCATAATGAAATACTTATCATTATTGTAATTTGGGGACAAGTAATTATCCCCCAATCTTGACTGTATACTCCAAAACAGCAGTTATTAAACTTTTGATGATCCCTGGTCCTCTTATAAACCCTCTAAAGCAGGGGTCGGCAACCTACAGCTCGTGGGCCGAATCCGGCCCGCGGAGTAATATAATCCGGCCCGTGACGCTTCACTGAATCATAGTAACGAAGAAGATGTTTTGACGATTATATTCTTTACGCAACAGACTACATTGTGAGACACGTGTGGACTGAATTATATTATAATCTAAATATAAAATTCACAATTACTCGTTTATTGGGCCTATAATTTAATTATAATTAGACAAAGCGCAAAGGGTTCGATGGCGTCGATAATATTCAAATTTTTTGAGATGCAGTGAGCAAATAAATCTATATTCTATTCGAGAGATGTATCACTGCTTTATTGTTAATATAAAAAGTAACATACGTTTGGTTTCAACTTTCTAAAAATATGTACGGCCCGCCAATGACTTGCAACCCTTAATTCTGGCCCGCGAGTGACAAAAGGTTGCCGACCTCTGCTCTAAAGCTTATCTCCCCCTGCCCTTCTCATTCCCTATCACCCGCTACTCTTCTAGAATAATAGCTACTGGAGGCCTGCCTCCAAATACTCTCAGCAGTTGTGGCCTCTGCTATTTTGAAAAAATCCTACTTTTGCTTTTAAAGATTGTGGTCAAATTACAGACAATTCATACAGGGTGCTCGGACACTCGCTACTTTGTCTGTAGAAGTATTTGACCTATGACCTATGCTAAAAAAAAATTCAAATTTAATTATTGCCTGTTCAAATTTCCATATTATCTGATCTGTACACTGCATCTTAAGTTTTTCACTGAACTTTTCTTTGCCCAACAATTTTCCTTAAAACATTTTAATTTTTTTTGGCAATACTTCATGCACCCACTTTCTTTCAGTTTTTAGTAAAAACACATATTGATAAGACGTTCAATGATTATGTTGGCAGTTACAAATGAATGTAATTTTGTTGTTCGATTTTTTTTTGTGCAATTCCATTTTTTATTTTGCAATCTTCACATAAAATGCATGTTTTATGTTGTCAATAGCATTTGAGACATTAATTGTGAATTTGTTTTAGGTAAAAATGTCTATTTTGTTTGAATATGTATTTGAAACTGGGTTACTATTTCAATATGGACATGGTCTGGTATCTGGATGGGAGGTTTGTCATATGATTGAGCCGTCTTATTAACTTTTCCCTCCATCAAAGATAAATATGGCAGACCTAACCTAATACTTTTTATCAGCACAAATTAAATAGAACTGATTATTTTGATGTCCAGTTCCTTTGATTATGCTCATATTTGCAAGAAAAAGTTCCAAAATAATTCAAATTCATCAATTTACCTATGGAATCATTAATTATGATTTTGTGAGATTATTCCTATTAAAAATAATCAATCGATTCTCCAAATATTTTTGATTACATACAATTAATTTGATTCGCAATAACTGGGATATAAGGCCTCTCCATAGTCTCAAGTGTAAGACATTTCTCCATTTTTATGTTATGTATATTTATACCTGCCTTATTAATATGCTTCTCTCACTAAAATGCTTTATCCATGGCCGTTGATAGATTTTTCAGTGCTACTTTAGCGTGAGATCTACCTTTGCATTTCCCAACCCTAATAGATTTAATTAAACAATAATCTCATGATTTGTACTCGTCCCAGAGTTATTCCTCAGACTCAGGATACTTTTATTTCAGGCCAGGAATTTTTAAAGAAGAGGGGGGGGGGAATCTGAAATTTGCAAGTTAGAATGTAACAGCTTGTGAGTTAGTGGGAACACGTCGGTTTTCAAAAATTTTGAGGGTCTAAAAAACGTTTCGAGAAACGAAAAAAAAAATTGGACCTCTTGAAGTATGCGCACCAAGATGACACACAACCTGAACTCAGGTCGTGTACAAGGTTAGGGTTCAGGCTATGCGGCATCTTGGTGCGCATACTTCAGGAGTACCGAAAAATTCTTATGTATGGTACAGGAAATTGCTTTTTTACATTTCAAAAGGGGGGGGGGGGGGGCTGTTCCAAATCTCACTCCCTACCTGCTGTGCCCATGCTCAGGACTATACCCGAGTGGTAAAGTGGTAGACCTCATGCTAACGCATCACCAGTTTTTCTCTACCAGGCATCGCTATAAACTGAAGGTCTGGGCTGTTACGATAAGAGTACAATAGGTTAGGGTTGCCATACCGTCCAGAAAATTCCGAACATGTCCGAAATTTTGGGTCCGGGAAGAATTCAAAAAATGCTTAAATGTCCGGAATCCGGAATTTTACTGCATCTGCAATCGTACTGTACACACTGCTAATAAAGAACATTGTTGTTTTGTACCGTGCGCATATTTTTTACTACGAGGTCATGAACTGTCCGGAATTTTGCTTTTTCAAATATGGTGACCCTACAATAGGTATGATACAGATTGGGTTAACACGACTTGATTGACATAATTTTTGAATATACAGAGTGTCCAAAACATTTCTGTTTATTAATAGTTCTTATTGTGCTTGTAGTTTTCATTTATCAAACAATGAAATTTAGTTTAACTTACAATTGTTATTACTATGAATTCGGGCAAAATTTTTGGACACCCTGTATACTTAGATGCCTCAACACGGAAGCAATTGTCTCTCCTCTTAGCTATGGTACTGTCAAGAGAAAACTGGAATTTACTTTTTGTAATTTTTTTGATATTGTGTTAAAATAAAAACAGCGTCCACAGCTCTTAATGAGGCTTGATCTATTATTCTTTACATTCTATTTACCAGATAGAGATTTAACCACGCTTATCGAAGGCCGACATTTTAAAGTAGTTTGAATAACTATGGTTCACTAGATTTCAATATATGCTAATTGAGACGCTTCATTCCTACTAAAACTTCATCCTTGAAGGCTTCTGATCTGGGATGGCCCAAACTGATTAATGTACACTTCTGAATACATCCTGAAATATTACTTTTTGACGAGGAATGTCAAATATTACTTTTGAATAAAGAATGTTAAATATGTATCCAGAATGGGTCAATTTTAACAGAGAACATGCTTCAACCATTGTATATATTGTCAATTTGATAATGTATAAAAGTTGAGATAAACATCATTTCGTACTCCCATAGTGTGTGTACCATGTTAGGGTTGTGGCATAATTTTATTCCGATTTTCCTTATTTTAGTTTTATTATGAGTTCGGGGACTGTCTGTGGTAACCAAGTTAATATACCCCCTGCCCATAGGTTTTGGTTTAGACGAACAAAATTATTTACCTCGATGTTGGTACACATACTTGTGGAGCGCCCATCAGTTTGATTGTTTTTCTATCTTTACATAGCATGTTGAATGAAGATTACTATTGGCCCAAATGACTATATTTAGAACAAAATCTAAATTAAGTACTAATTATTTTTAACGTGTTTTTTTTTAAAAGAGCCACCGCTAATGTGGCAATCGCAATCTGCAGTACTTAAAATATGGCTGGTGTTTTTTTCTCAAATATGACATTTTTTCATTAGTGGCTTTCTACAAAATATCCTAGAACAGTGGTTCCCAAATCGCGTGGCCAATCACAGCGTAACAATTTAATATGGGCCACCGAACTTGAGTGAAAAAGTATAACACTTTATGTTTTTACCTTTTTGCGTTCTAGATACCACCAACTATTACGTCTTTATCACAATTTAAGCATGTGTATATTGGTAACAATTCAATCGCTCCACTCTCCTGGTCTACGAATATCAATCAACTTTGGGAACTACTTTTCTAGAATATAAAATAATTTGGAATGTATTCAAATATTCAATCTGTTTTGGACATCACTGATTCAGCTGGCTCACTTTATCCCAAGTTATTCATGCTTATTGAACTATCATACTCCTTCATTTAGTAGCTGCCTATACATTATACTGAAGTTCTTTGATGAGTTGGTCGAATTTATGTCACCTGATTTCACTTTTTTCTTTAAATCATGCATGTTCACAGCATTTATTGATTAATAAAATGCAAATAAATATTTATTGGAATATATAATGTCTTTTCATTTGTAAGTTGCTGAAAAGTTTTAAAATCGTGCTATAGTAAAATTAAGTGTCAAGGGCGATGGAATAGAAACTAAACTTGTATTACCAAGATACTAAGCAATTATTTTAGAAAGCAGGGGTTCTGAGTTTATTGCAGGAAAAAATTTTTTTTTTGTATTTTCTCCTCAAAAACAAGCGTTTCACTTGACATAGTGAATATGAAGTCTCCTAATACGAACCAATATCTGACAGAAAATTTTAGATTGTTTCAGCATGCGATAATGCAAGGTTGTCGAACCTAAAGGGTGAATACCGCGGGTACCCATATGCTATTGTTTTAGATAGACTGTAAAATCAGGGGTTCTAAGTTAACTATGGGAAAACACTTTTTGTGTTTCTATTTTGCAAGAATGTCCAAACATAATATCATGCTTCTCAAAGATATCTACCAACAGCGAATGATAGATAGGTATAATATCCGATTCTCAAAATGACACATAATTTCCCCCTTGGGTACTTTAAATAATTAATTAATTTTTCAAGCAAGAAAGTGCACAATCAAATGTTTTCATATTTCACTTGCAGCACATGGCAAAACATAGTTGAAGCGATAATTGTATTTTTGGAATTTGGTGGGTAATAAGAAATAAAATATCGGAATCCTCTTCAAAAACGTAACATTTTGAAATAGTATGGCTCTATGGGAGGAATGCCTGAGCTCTAACGGAGATAATAATATACAAATTTAAAAAATAATAAAAACGTTCACATCCTGGGGGAGTCATACACTTTACTTTTATTAGTCCATGTGTTTAAAGAATGGTTCCTGTACATTCCACAGACTCCTAAATGTTGAGAAAATCTTTGTGATTTTCCGTGAAAAGTTGTTGGTGCTGATTCATGTGTTGCGGGGAGAATTCCGTAAATACTTGAAGAGGTTTTGTACAAAGGATGTTGTGGTTGATAACTTCCATCCCAAGCCATTTCATCTCTTTCTACTTCCACTCGAGACATGCAGGAAAAAACAGGGTTGCCAGTATTGCTGCATGGTACTGATTTGACAGATTCTGTAGCAATTAAAATGCATCATCAATATTTTATTTTGATAAATAAAAATAATTATCAGTATTTTGCCATAATATTTGTAATAAACCATGAGTATATAATTTTAGCAAATGCTAAGCCACAACTTTGCTCAAAACAATGTCATGTACAGTCAATCAGTAACAAAAAGAGTGGTCCCGGGGCAAAGTGACTCCTTAATAAGAAGCCAAGAGCTATGAGCACTATATAAAACGATATAGGTGAGATTCGTGTTTCGGACAAAAAAAAATTTAAATAGATGAGAAAAACTGAGCTCTCAGAATTCAACTAAAACGGATTCTGACTTCGAATACTCCAAATTTTAATTGTAGCAACTTTTGCAAATCTTTCCGGAAACTTAAAAAAACATTATGCTGACCATAACCAATGATTTATACATTAAACAACGACTTGTTTCTAACTTGAACACAAAAGTGTGATGAAGTCCATGCATCTGAAATTACTGGCTCAAATAATTGACTCACTAATCCCATACCCGACATGAACTGGTAATCGGACGAGAGGCTGTGGTTCTTCATATGATTAAGCCGTCGTAACGGCTTTCTTATCCCCAAAATAAATTTGTAAATCCTGTCCTTGAATGGAATTAGTTAGAAAGCCAATAAAAAAACTCACCTAAAGCTTCTTGTGCACTAGTTGGGAATCCAGGAGGATTCAAAACCCCTGGTTCTGCATTTGTGGGATTATTTTCCGTTTGTCCTTCCATAATTTGAGATAAAATAAAGCGCAGAAAACAAGAGCGACAGCAAAGAGGTGGGGAAAGATGACTATCATTACTATGGAAACCATTTACCGCACTTTAGCGCCACATGATGTGCGGGTTTTCGACTGATTTTGACAGATGGTAGCACATTTTTGATCAATTTTTAGCTTTATTTTTGAAAATTAAATAAATTGAACTAACAAGTTGATGAAGTATCAATATATTAGTCATAATTAAAAAACTTCAAACATCAACCATTTCGTCGCAAATGAAACTAGTTACCAGATTTTGTTGACAGCTGCAATACATATCGTAATGCAATTTGTACGTAAACTACCAGTGATAATAGCAATGTTTCATCGAAGTTCATCAGGATAACTTTTAAAAATTTAAACAATTTTTTTTTTGTTACGTTGTATGTCACAAGGTGAAATTGCATATGTAGTACTTCTGTGTCTCATGTTTTAAACAAAACCTCGTTTGAAATTTTGGCAACGGAATTTGACAATCCGGAACTTTCGTTTTTGTTTTTGTAAAATTCGAAACAAATTATCTTATAATATCCATGTAGATTGCACGAAAGCAAGAAAAAATATCATTATGCCACATTACAATTATTGGTAACTATTCAGAACGTGTGTTAGGTAGTAAACTTCTTTGAAATCTGTGAAGGGCGTTATAAAAACACTCATTGCGGTTTACTCAACGACTAGGTTTACTCGCCCACCCAGTAAACGACGAATGAGTCATTTTGGAGGCGTTTCCGGGTTTAATCAGGCACAGCCGATCAACAAGATTTCGTGCAATGTGATGTCATATTGAAACAACCAGAAAGGTATCCCACGTGATCTGACGTCAGACCACAACAAACATTTGGGCAGCTGATCTGAATGCTCCCTTATCGTATATATCCCTTTTGAATACTTCCATTTTTTTCAATAATTAAAGAGTTTTCCTTGTGGTATACTAATATAAATATATTACTATAACTTATATCAACAGTTAGGTATATCTTAGGCAAGTAAGTCAACTTTTAGGCTTTATTTTTAAAAGAATCAAATACCGAGGGTGAACACTTAGTGCACTCCTCTGTTTACTTTTTGCAAGATCGTCTACTGAGCATAAAGAGATTCGGGAGTGCAAAGACACGACGAGAACGCTGGTTGGTTATGCATCGTTTTATTTTAGCTTAGAATATTTACTGGTTTTGAACTGGGGAAAGATGAGATTGCGCCATATTGCAGCAACGCCTATATCATTCACCACATTATTTCATTGGGTGAACAAAGAAATAGGACGTTTTGGTATCATTCAGCTATTTTCTGATTTTATTCAGGACTTGTTGAGATTTTTTTTGAGATTCACCACACCAATTTCGATTCTGAAAGCACTGCAGCTTTGCACTATAGCCAGGTAGCGTAGAGATGTTTGACATGACATCAGAAAGCCATAGGAAATTGGTTTATATAGCTATAGAACCCAACAGTTGAAATGCTAAAAAAATGACATTCAGTACTCCAGTAAATTTCTATTTTAATATTTTTAGGTAACAATAAGAAGATGCTTGCTGTATTTGCTTCAGGCTTTTTTGTCACAGTCTGCAGTACAGTTGAAACAGCTAGTGATAATTTTAGGGAAGCTATAAAGTCAGAAAGTGTTAACTTATGCTTTTACAGTTTTACTTTTTTTCATGTATTTTACAGTCTGAATGATAGAAACTTCCTTTTCTAAGCATGACATTATTTTAGAATCAATCAATCAATCATTTATTTCGGTACTCTGACATAAAAACAAAACAACACAAAAACTGGACAAACAAACAAAATGCAGAGATACCTGGAAGGCGAGCATAACTTAAAATAAAGTTAAAAAACGTAAAAGTACGCGCCCGCCCACCAAAAAAAATAAAAAATATTACTACAAGAATACAAAAAACACGATTCAGAATCGGGCAATGCTTTTAAGGGATCTGTGGACAACTTACACAAAATATAACAAAATTTATGTAGATAAATTAAATGTAATAGACTTCTGACTACCTCTTCCGTCCAATTATGGTAATCATCAGAATTTACCCCACATATCATATATATAAATGAAGTTGATTTTAAATATTTAACTCTGGGTCTGGAATTCTAGATTGTGTATTGCTAAATGAGTAAATAGCTGTAGGAAACAGCTAAATAAAATATGGGTTCATCTGAAACATAAATTTTATTTTCTGGATAAAAATTTATACAGCAAAGTACAATCTGCAAACAGTACCAGAGTACAGTAGTATAATGATTTATTTCTATTTTCAGATTACAGGTTAATGGTTCCAATATTTTTCCTAGGGGAGGAAATTGTATGTGACCAGTGATTGTGTGAGCAACCCCTACCCATTTAATGATGTCCATTTAAGAGCTTTACCGTGTTTTCCCGAAAACAAGACAGAATCTTATTTCAATTTTTTTCGAAAAATAACACTTGGTCTAATTTTTGGGGACTTTTATTTTCATTTATCAAAAACAAAATTGCAAAGTAGAGAATTACAAGATTTTAAAATTTACAAAATATGAAAACCGATATTTATTTACTTATAAATAACACATTTTTATTTAAAAAGAAACTGACTAGGTCTTATTTTAAGGGGAGGGCTAAATGCTAGGTCTTATTTTCGGGGAAACAGAGTATAGAGAAATGCTTGTTAGATACTCAAATTATAAATGGTTGATATTTTCTATATTTCAGAATTTTTTATGGTTTAAGAGTGAAAACAAATAATGGATCCGAATGATTCGGATGGATCATGGGAGTTTGTGGATCATAAGGTACATTTTACAATAATTTCGTTCATTTTTAAAAAAAGTTGAACGAAATTTTATCGCAAGTATTTGCATGTATGTATATATATCTTAAAACATTCACGCACAAGCACAGTATATAAGTGTCTTATTTATTGGGTGAGTCCTGGCGAATATTTTGAAATGTCTTACCATCTTAGCTGAAGACACACACACTGTTTTTCCACTGAAAATACTTCCTCTAGCTTTTTTAAATATTTGATCTTGCCTGCCTCAGTGCCTCCTTAGCACGGAGCATGTTTATTAAGAGAACTCAATTTGCTGTTTTCACAGATTCTAGCACCCTACACACAATGTCAACGAGCTTTTCGTTATTATTTATAGTACATTCATATTATTTTAGCTAGTTATTTTATAGGTGGCGCGAGACAAATTCTAAAAAGGGGGCGCGGCTTAAAAGTTTAAAAACCACTGCTTCAGCCCATTCAAAAATAGCTCAGTGAGAGCATGAACAGAGTGTTGTTCAGAGTCAAAATGTGAAAAAAACGCTTTATAATAATTTCAAATCCATTAATAAAATCGTAACTTTTTTTGACTTTTTCTTTAGGATTCAGACTCTGACGCATCATCAGTAGCATCACCCTATGATACTGGATTACCAGAGGAAAACCTGGCAACCCTGCCTTCACAAAATGAGGAATCAGTTGGAAGTGCTTGGAATAATCATGATGACTTTATAACTGACAGTGATATAGAAGGTAAAAGGACTTAAATTTGATTCAAAGTTTATGTTTGATTTGCACTTTGTTTATGTTTTGACCATTGGTATTTTGTCTTGAAATTTACGAAATATGGAATGTATCCTTTTCTGAGTATACTGAGAATTTTCATATATTTTTCAGCTTGTGCTGAAGAACCTCCTGAGTCGGATGATGGGGATGGAGATATCACACTGAAGCAGGTAAAAAAGTTGGGAATGAGCTCAGTTGCCGTAAATCCCCTGTGTGAACATTTTTTCTTTCTTTCTGGGGTATCATTACTCTCTGGCCGGCAAGGGCATAGCCAGGGGGGGATGAGAACAGTTGAAAAACTTTCTCTTTTGAAATGTAAAAAAAGCATTTTTTTGTTTCAAAAATAGCAATTTTAGTAGCTTGAAATGCTTTTTAGACCCTCAAGACTCTTAAACCCACATTTTTGGCTTCTGGCCGCTAGTTGTTACAGTCTGACTCAGCGATTAGAAATTTCAGAATCTCCCCCCCTCCCCCCCTTCTTTGAAAATTCCTGGCCATACCCTGCTGCCAAGGCATATAAATGGATATATTTGACAAAATTTAGTAGATTTTTTTTCGGGATCTTGTCACCCATGATAATGAAAATTTAATATTGTTCAGTATTCACATAATATATGGGCTTTGTTATTTGCAAGTTACATTGACCTAAATGGATAAGGGGGTAATTTGATAAAAACTGGTTGAATTTTTTCTCAGGATACCCTGCCTTCATCACCACAGATTGATAAAGATGACTTGGCACCTGAGATGCAAAGTTCTGAGGAACATGGTGAGTCGATTTTGAAGGTTAAATTTTTTATTTAAATCTGGGATAGGATAACAGTGGTTCCCAGCTGGGGCTCGGGGCTAGCCAAGAGGGCCGCAGAGCAGTTGGAGGGGGGCCATAATGCTGGATGTAAAACTGATTTTTTTTTCATCTCTAAAGAAAATTCTTCGTTCTTCCTAGTTCAATTGCTTACACCAATCAAAATAACACCATAAATACCATTGGAATGATAAACAAGTGGGCCATAAATGCCAAAAGCTTGCGGAAGGGGGCCGCGAGCCATATTTGGTTGGGAACCACTTACATATAAGCTAGACATATAGAAGTATTTGTACATGCTCATAGAGGCATGCGAAATAAAATTTTTTAAATATCTGGCATATTGCAATAACCACTATGGTTCAATTTTTTTGCAATTTTATCCACCCCTCGGGAGAAAATTTGCCCATGGGAAGTGAATTTTGCAAGAAGGAAAGTATGACCAAATAGGGTCGTAAGCAGGTTTTGACAGATGTTATTATGTTCTGATTGCAGACAGACTGTCTGTCTAGCATTTCTTGTTTCATATTTCATAATACAAAGCCGACTATAATGTTAACTGTGGATGATGTAGTTGTACATATCATATCGAAATAGTGACCTCAAATATTACTAAAATTATACCCATATGAGGGCAGTTTGACTAGAGCTCTATTTCTATATACAGTACATCAAAGAGACAATTGGA